GAAACGAAAATCTCCTCAATGAAGAAGAAAAGAGAAACGGTTCCGTATTAAATAACAATTATATTTTGATAATGTTGGCCTTTAATTTGTCAGATCGATACGCAGGGCATGGGCTTATGCGTGAAAAATTTGGTGAAATTCACTTGTACACCGAAACTCCACTGCAGTCGATTCGCAGTAATCACAATCATTAAATATTTATTGGTCGCGAAACAAGACGAGGAGGGAGAGAGACAAAGGGAGAGAGAGAGAGAAGGAGATAAAAATTGGCCGCTACAATTCTGTATTTAATTTGCTCGTAATTTATTTATTGCTATCGAGTGCCACGTACATACAAATGTGTGTTCCATTTTAAAGCAGCACCACCAATTTGTTATTGTGGCAAATTTTTTTCGCTGCGTGCATTGTTTTTTAAATTTTGCGGCAAGCGAAGCAGTCGGTTGGTTGGTTCGCAGAACATTTATCAATTCAAATGACAGCGTTCACTTTCCACGTGCGCTTAAGTTGCAAAATGGTCTCGATTCGCAGAGATTATGTGGCTGGCATTCGTTTCACGCGATAATCGCAACAGCAAATGCCGATGCCCCGATACACTCAATTAATTTTGCCTAATTGGAACGTGATCGCAGTCTCATTAGTTATTGTTCCTGGAATTCTTTTCCAGAGAAATGTCTACGATTCGCGAATATAATTGAAGTCACTGGCTCGGATGTGTGTGTATGCAACATTATAATTTACAGTTGCATTCATAATTATTTTTCACACACACACGATCTGATAAAATGTTTTGAGGGCTTTTTCATTACAAATTATGTGTTGCAAAAGATCAGCGAAACAAAAAACCAAAATAAATTTGAATATGAATGGGTTTCAGTTTCAGTTGGAAATTAAAATCTGACCGCAAATTGATTAATTAGATCCAAATGTTGGACGATTGCTTGTTGTGCGAGACATTGGCCGATTTTAACGGTTGCGGATTGGGCAATAGCAAAATTTAAATGGCGCCAAACACACCGATTTTCATTTCCATTCCGGATTTGGTGTCTGTTTCATGGTTTTTCTTTGTGGTTTTTAAACCACTTCCAAGATGATATCATTTGCCATATCAAATGAATCACAGAGACGCGATCGTTTTCTTCGCTATTCTCCTCTAAAAAATCTAGCTAGCACATCGATTTGAGTCAACACTCACGCGCTTCGGAAGCGAGAAAATATCTTAAATCATGGTGAAAAGTCGTCGGCACAGGTTTATTCCGACACACACACACACATGCATAATGCCAATTGTATCAGTAAAACGCCTTGAATTCAATTAAATCAAACCGTCAATAGGCTAATGAATGAATGAATAAAATATTAACCCGTTCGGTGCATGAAAACGCGAGCTAAAATAAATGGTGTTGTTGCATAGAATTGACAAATGAGTTGGTTGCAAGGGTTAAGATCTACCTGATTAAACTAGCTAGTTACAACTATGCTCTCCATATTTCAATTGTGCCTCAAAAGAGCAAGCGATCAAGAGAGAGAGAGAGAGAGAAAGAGTAAACGGAGCCAGTAATAAAAAAAATTGAAAAGAAAAAACAACGACATTGAATTGTTTGTAGTTTTATTTTGGTGCGTAGGCTGTCGCTTCGGTTGCGTGTGTTGACGTTATTCATTCAGTCAGCGACTTGTAAGAGCCTCGATTTGAATTCTCCTTAGTCGATCAAAAAAGAGAAAAACGAATTCTTTTTTAAGTAGGTAGTTTTTGAGATGGATACAACAACAACCAAAACAAAAACGAAAGAAAAAACAGCACACGAGCCCAGCAAAGAGCAACAAATTAATATATGTGGCAACAAACAAGATCCATCGTAGTAAGCGGAATGGCTTACGATTTGTGGTTTGTGTGTTCAACGAACACAAATTTTCATCGCAAACCACGGTGAACGGCGATATATTTTTCATTCATAGATTTCATTCATAAAATTTGAGACGCGAAACATTTAAGTAACAGCGTTATTAATGAGCCTGAGCTCTATGCGGTACAACGGCGACAACAGCCACAGCAGCAACAACGATCGAAACAGCAATCATTTCATTTCAACATAAACGATGGAGATAAAAGACCAGAGCCAAGGTAGAAAAACGAAAAAAAAAATCAACGACAATAAACAATATGTTCGATCAGATGGAATCAATGACAGGCCGTTTATAATGCAAATCGATCTCAGCGCCGAAAGATTTCAACACACAACTATTTTGGCGTCATTTCATTCACAACTCACGAAATACAAACCAATTGATTCGTTGTTCGAAATTAATTCGTTTAGTTTTGTAAATATATTTATTTAAAATGCAAACCGTCAATCAATTTTGGAGCAACTTTTTTTTTCTTTTTTTCTTCTTAATGACAAAAATCAGCTTTAATTGACAAAAATCAGCAATGACTTTTTGATTTCAATAAATGGCTATGAAAAACCAGAATTTTCGCTGTGGCAGAACAATACAAACAGCATTTGCAAAGCGAACGAGTGTTGTCGCAAAACATGCAGAGTTTTATTTTTTTCCAAATGGAAAATAATTGTTTGGCAATGATATCAATGGTTTTTGGTTCGCTCGTTTGGTTTGAATCGTGTTTTTGCGGTGAGAGCATAAATCGAATTAAGATTCCTGGCTTTTGGACCTTTCGGAATCGAAACATTGGGATGTAATTTGAGTTTAGTTTTTCTCTTGAGTGAAAATCGATATCGTGAGCCTAATTAAACAGTATTTCGCCTTTTTTCCCCCATTCGGCATTCCATTTGCTAGAAGTTTTTCGTGTACACGTCGGCAAGCGAAAGAACCGAAAGTAAAGTCGTTGGTGAAAAGACAAAAACACAGCCACTTCTAACTTGATTATATATGCCTTGCATCTCCACCTTAGATTCGTTTTTATTGCATTGTCTTGTGTGTGCTGTGTGTATAAGACTTGGTCCGATTGAACCGATGCGAAATAGTAAAACTACATTTTCGGTGTTTTTGTGTTCTTTTCCCGTCGCGCTTGCATCTCGTCGTCGTCGTTCGCTGTCTTTTTGTGTTCCATTCAATTATATTCGAGATTTTTCGTTTCGATGCTCTTGCTTCTCCGTTTTTTTTTCTCGTTTGTTATTCAGAGATTAACATACAATGCGCACACAGAATATGCATTAAAAAATCCCTTTAAATCGGATCGCGGGCTCTCTCTCTCTCTGGCCGAAAAAAAACAGCCACGCAGTGATACAATGTAAAAAAACGGCGCACGAGAGACGATAACGACGACTTTTTCTACTAACGTAGCCCATGGAATACGATGACTATTCGATTTAACCGATTCCGAGACTTACTGAAGAGCTCACTCGTCGGCCAGAGCGTGCGGTCAAAATACTTTGAAGTTTTTCACTCACATACGAATCGGCTTTTTTTTCTTCTTTCACTTCATCTTGTGCACATATCCGAACACACGGAATACACACAATCCTCTTGATGTTGTTAATCTTAAAATCCACTTCAACTCTTGTTTGTAAACAGTTGAATTATTGTGTACCACTGCCAAACAAACTCATTTCAAATGTGTGAATGAAAGACACAAATTTTTGCTCATCATTTTACATTCTTCCATTGTTTTATTCAAGTACACGAATTTTTTGCTTGGGGCAACTAATCAGCTATGGCTATTTAAAGAAAAGAATGCTTTCTACATATATTGATGGAGTCAATGTGGTCATAAATTGTCTGCGATGTCAAAAATCAATCCAATCCAATCCAAGTGGTAGCAATTGATGGAGTCTCTCAATGAAATTTCTGAAAGTTGAACAATTTGATTATTTGCCGACCGAAGCGTATCGAAGGATGTTTTAAGATCATACTTTTAATAACGACAGTTACAAACTCTCCTGTTATCGCACCAGCCACCACGAAATCCTTGGCGGAGACAGTTACCAGCACACAAAGTATCACCAGCGATTTTGAAAATACCCGGAAAAAAGTCACATGTAGCACGCTTCTGACGTGATCCGTGGTACTGTATAGTAGATGATGAATCTGGATCATCAACTCCTTGATCTTGAACGTCAAAAATGGAAATTAGACTTTATTCAAATAATTTCCCGTCTATTCTCACCTAATGAATCAACTTCATGTTCAACGGGCTGATTTAACGAAGCGGCAATGGTATTCGAAACTAAAATACTCAAAACGAAGGTCAAGAAGAGCGCAACGAATTTTATACACTTTCGTTTTTATCGATTATTATTTTTGTAAGTTTATCGTTAGAATGTCACGAACTTTGTGATGTATTTCTGTAATTTCGCTCGGCTTTTTATACTTACTCTTCCACATTATTCTTTTGTGGCATTCATAGTGCACAGTACAATGATGAAATTATTGAATATTCCCAATACGTTCTGCGGAAGAATATTTTTGTCGTTCAAAACAAAAGGTTTTTTTTCATTCAATTTCAATTGAATCGAAAGCGTACACAATTATTATTCAATTTTGTGAAAGTGGAGAATTTGCTTAGAATTTACTGCGACGCAATAGTCTCACTCGCTTATTGCTGCCGAACACAATTGAGTGCAAATTAGTGTACAAGCCGCTCACTTTACACATATTTACCGGCGTTGGAACAGTATCGTTTGATAATTATTCACGGTTTTGTTTGGTGCCTTTGATAAAATTCTGACGAATTGTCCACCAAATGAACAACGTTTGGTTGCAATTGCAGTAAATATACAGCCTTGCTAATTTTCTATCAAAGTTATTGAAAAATACATCAACTTGTTTGGAATTTAAAATATAATAAGAATTGCAATGTTTATTTGAGGAAAATACACAATTTGATGTTAAACCATAAAAAGTAAAATGAATTTCGCAAACAATTCGCAGGTTGATTGGAGTCAGCTTGAAGATTTATAATTGCAGATACTTGTATATACTACAAATGAACATTTTATTTTTTCATTGCTTCAGTACACGAGCTTCGTATATTTTGCATTTTGTTGTTATAAATAGTCCATCTCATTGGCATAGTAGTTCTTCACGTTATTTGCAAAATATTCGTTTGAAACTAAACAAGTAAGCAGCGACAAATGTTGTTCGAGTCACAGTACCCAGATTTGTAGTCATAATGAAGGCATATTTTATAACAACTTATCGAATTGAGATCTTTACATTCATTATGAGGAAGAGGCGTTCCTTTATGTGGGTTTGTTGTTGTAACGATTCCCTCAGTAGTTGTCTCTTCAGTTGTTCCTTCAGTCGTTGTTGTCGTCGGCGGCGTTGTTGGTGGATCAGTGGTATTTGGTTCCGAGGTCGTCGCGGGTTCTTCAGTTGATGGGCTATCAGATGTTGAACTTCCTGGTTCCTCAGTCGTCGTTGTGTAATCGGGCGTCGTTGTTTCAGTTGTTTCCGTCCACTCTGTTGGCTTACTATCAGGTACTTCTCCAAAATGGGCTGAGAGTACTACTTGAAAAACGGCCGCATAGATAACAACCGCAACAATTACGTTAATGTCCATTTTGCGTGTTACAATTTTTGCTTTTCGAGGTGTCTGAGAAAGTTGCAATTTTGAACTGATTTACAATAGCTGTTGCTCTAGTTTATATAGCAAAAATTGTCCATGACTTCCAAAAGCAAAGAATTATTCTAAATATGTTTGTTGCATTCTTTTTGTATTGCAAGTGTCAACGTAAAAGACAATGAAGCCATTGTAACCAAAATGGCTACTGAATATATCATTCTTATTGCACATCATCCATAAATTGTTTTCTTATCGATATGCCACTACTATGTATGAGCACACTAACGCTTCTGTGACTTTGTGAGCATTATTCAAGGGACACCACATAAACGAAGGTACGTTTGCCAGAATTTGCCTACGCTTGTATTGAATCATTTCACTGGTATTTTGTGCGATAAAAATCACAGTTGGTTTGACAAATTACTGCGAAATTCTGTTATTGAATTTATTATTGATGTTCTGCAGTAATTTTATATTCCTATAAGTTATATATTGCACAGAGAAAACTGAATTAGTGAACCCTGCGAATTCTATTGGTGAAAAGTAAAAGTATCAATAGATTGCATTATTGAACCCTGACAGTCTATTGGTGAAACGTGTTTCTACCAATGAAATTTTTTATTTGTATTGGTAAATTCAATACAATAGACAGCATTAGTAACTTAATTTGATTATAAATGAATGTAAACAATTTTTCATTTAGCTTATGCCCAATTTAGAGTTTGCATTGAGAAACAAAAAAGAAAAATTTTCAACACTTTGTTTTACTTTGTCCAAATATTCCAAAATTACCAAGAACAAAAATCCATGTCCCGATGTAACCAATGCATATAATGTATAGTTTGCTCTGATCAAATAAACTGAAGGCTAAAAATGAGAATGATGTTCGAGGTTTGTTTCCTTGTCTTAACTGTCCATGCAAAAAATTGTACTAATCATACGACTCTTGCATTCACTTCAGAAATTTTATCAAATGAAAATTTTTGCATCGAATTGTAAGCCAGGCACACGAAATGTGCAAACCATCTTTGCAATTTGCTGCAGTTGTTTTTATACAAACCAAATATCCACTTGCTGCCAAATCTATATTTATCTTAAGTATTGATGATAAAAATCTAAGAGAATTCAAACGCAAATATGTCTGTTGTATCAGTCGCTATGAATATTTATTTCAATACCCTTCGGCAAGTTTCATTGTGAACGTTTTGTCATTGGAAATTTTTACATAAATTTCATCTTTAATTCCCATTGATTGAAGCTTCAGAGAGATATCAAACTAGTATCCACTATCCATATAAGTTTGAAAAAAAGTTCAGGTGGAAAAAGTAGGTAATAATACGAAGATTGCTTTTGACTCATTCAATCGTGTATTTATTTCGATAACAATTCATTTCATTATTCTTCAATATTTTCAAAATTGAAGTTTAGGCAGAAACAAACAAACTCTCTGTTGTGAATCCTAATTCACGGCATGCCGAATAGCAAAGAGAGGATGGAGAATGTAGGCACACATCATGGGGAGCAATATCTCCATCTCCGTCAACACCATTAAAAACAAAAGGCACTGGAATAACATTTTGGGTAAATGAATTAAATTTACAGTTAATAAGTATTAGTGTAAGCATTCATTTATCCATGATACGATACTTACACGAAACATTTTTCGTATCGTCAACTGGTGATGCGACTGCATTGTCAAAAGTAACACAAAGAAAGATGAAAATGGCGAAATTTAGTTTGAAAATCATTTTCATTATTGTTGAAGATTTCGCTCTTGCAAGGCACTAATTGGCATTTAAATTTTAAACTAACTTACAATGTCCGTTGTTTTGGGCTTTTATAGCTGAACAAGTTGCCGGTGCTTTCAGAAATGAAGAGGAATTCGTTAGAAATGACAGGAAATAATACGAAAGAAAATACTTTTGATGTTGTTGTAGCCTATAACTTAGAGGCTGTCATAAAATGTGTAGAAAAATTGTAAATTTGTATACCAAACGCTGATAATGATCACATCTACTACCGGTTAATTACTCTTTTGAACATGCAATTAAAAATCAATTGATTTTATTGCAGAATTTCCTTGCTCTTCGCATTGTTATTGGCATTTTTTTTTCTACAAAACTCATGATAAAACTTTACTCCTTACAAAATATTTCTGCTGTCATAAAATGTAACTAGCTATACAGGTGCCATAAAATCCAGTGCTGCTTTGTCAAATGAATGTGTACTAAACTGTGTAATTCCAATCAAACTCGCACTGAATGCGGAACCTGTTTGTCTTTATACGATTAACCTGAGAGAACTACTTGAAAAATAATAATAACAAAAACACGATCGTTGTTGCATTTTTCAATTTCTTCCTACTGTAAGAATGAAACAACAACAAAAAGATGGTAAAAATGGCAATTACAAATTAAAGTACACCTAACATGTGCACAAAATGATGCCTGGAAGCTTCTGCTGGTAATTTCACTGGTTTCACGATTATTTAGTAGCAAACCATTGGTCTTTAAATTATTTTTTTATCGATTTCGTTCCAATTCCTACTGGGATCGGCATCTAGTGTGCCAATGGCCTAATGGTCGGTGTCTGTCTCTTACGGTGGATTTTATAAAACAATTGTCATAATTTCACTTCTGCATTCCGTGTTTTTTTTTCTGCTTCTTCTCCGGAACGTTATCCGTGGCCTGGCATATTCATTACGGTTGCACATTTGGACGTGCAGTGCGCACTCAAATTACACGAGCCTTGTACCATATAGTTTTCGCTAAATTTATTAATAAATTGATGCTTACGAAACGAAGCTATGATGGCCATTGTTGATAAAAACTGGCGCAGCCGTTTAAATAATATGAATTTAACTATCCAATTTATTACTAGACATTGCATATATGAAAACTAATGATAAGGCGCACTTGAACGGCACTTAAATGTAAGTTATACGTGCAGTAAACGTCGATTTCATCATATAATTTAATAAGTCGATTTGATTAGACCCAAACCGAAGCGAATTTCCCCATTTCAACCGTTATTTCAATCGATTTGAAAGTTTATGATATTTCTTCTCTACTTGTTTTTTTCGTTTTGCAAATTTCACAATTAAACTTATACTGCTGGATCGTTGTGTGAGATCGTATCAAGTTCTATTAAAACTATATGTGCATAAAATTATGAATAAACTCGAAATTCCCTCGTGATTCGCTCGAACCGATTGCATTTCTGCGTCTCAGCAATGCACGGTGATCTGCATGAGATCATTTATGCTATTCATGCAAATCATAAATTTTGAAATAATAAACGGTGAACAACAAATTCGGTTGTTTCTTTTCATTCTACGGCCAAAAAAATCATCAAGTGGAAATAGAAAAAAATAAATGGAAGGAATACATAGGCCAACAGTCAATTATAACAAATTATGCCCATTTTTAGTGATAAAAATCATTTACAATGACTATAGCGATACTAAACCGTCGATCGGTGTGCAATGAATGAACAATTTTTGGATCGTGGGCTAATAGCGTAATTCACCTGCTATACGGAACGAAACGTATACCAGTTCATTCGATTCGCATTCAATCTTGATTTACATGCATTTCCAAATCCAAACACGATGATGTAATGGATCAGTTATGAAGTGACGTAGACAATATTCATTTGGGGAACACACAGTTTTTGGACAATTACCATTTTAGTTGCAGTTTGTTCTGCATGTAACTTAAAAACACTGCATTAGGTAATTTAGAAGAATGTGATTTAAAATGCATCAGAATGACGTTCTTATAGAAAGCTCAACATTGTTTTCTTCTCTCCCAACTCGACAACCGTTCGGTTGCCATAAATGTATGCAACATGAATAGATGACAAATAAAAGGGAAGGAGAGAGCAAAGACGAAGAGAGGTGAAACAAATCAATGCACACATATTTCTGGGCACGCGAAGGTAAGAAGAAAGAAGGCAAGCGGTGTTGAGCGCGTTGACGCGCACGTTTTATAGAAGAGAAGCAGCAGCCTAAAAAAACACATACACAACGTTCAAGAATGCAAGGCTATTCAAGGTTGTTGCTGGTGTCTGCGATAAGCATCATGTTTGGCCATTGAAACATATGAGTTACACAGAAATGAAATGCACTTGCAGCGATGCTACTTTGAGCATATTTCATTTGAGAAGCAGCAGATAGAAAAAAAAACCGCCGAGTTTTGCAATCAAGAAAAGTTTCCACTGACATTTTCAAGTGCAGAAAGTAAACAGAAGATTGAAGTAGCCACAGAGTACGTTTGCCTAGCAAAAATAGAATGAAAAGACGCGCAAAACGACGACGACAAGCGCACAATAAACAAACATCGAACGCGGAGAGGAGGAAAAATGGAAGATAATCAAAATGCTGCTGTTCCAAACGATTCAACGCGCACCGTGGTCCCAAGCAGTGATTTCATTCTGAGAATAGAAACGGTTGACACCGAAAAAAATAGAAACTATATGTAAGAAGAGAGATGAACGTTGTGAGACATTCTTTACTTGAATGGTGAATATCCTGTTTGTTGGTGTTGTCTGGGGGAATGATCGGTATACATATGAGAGAGCGGATGGACGCGAGTAAAACGCATTTCATCCAGATTCGGATTTGATACGCAATACGTGCAATAGCAAGAGCTATTCAATAACTCAAGTATGCTGATCATTTTGCAGAAAGAAAGCATTTTTTTGCTTCTTCTTCTTCTTCGTTCGTTCGTTTCTTAATATGGCTCTTGACATCGGCCAACGATGTCCATGGAGAGAGAACTACATTTTCCAAAATGGTAAAACACAAAACGCTAAACAACCCAAGCCGATTGAAATGTGTATATAAATGAATTTGTTGTTGAACGCATCGCAATGAATTGCACGAAACAAAAAAAAATGCACAATGACACAAAGCAAAGAAAAAATCAGCAAAATACCAAATGAAATGGAACAAGAATTGAGAAAGGATCGTCCAGAGAACGATAATAGCGATTGCTGGTTGGAGCATTTTTTTTGCTCTTGGAAGAAATCAAGCTCTTCTCTCTGTCGTTCAGTTTTCCAAAATGAAATGCACTTGCTTAGTATTACTTTTCCGTACACAACGTGTCAAGGGAAAGTATAGGAATTGGTCCCGAAAACTTTTTTCGCAAAATTAGCTTAGATCATCATAAAAACTCATGAAACGCGTAGAAAACCACTTTTTGAGACACTTTTCCGTTCGTGTGCCGTCGTCGTTGTCGTCGTTGTCGTTGTCGTCGTTGGTGTTTGTTAACACGATAACTCAAAGAAAAACCTCAAAAAATTGACACTTTTGTATGGGAGGTACCTGTAAATCGAATCCGATTGGCTTCAAACTTCCTGGGATTTCATTTTTTGGAGAAAAATAAGATTCTGAAAGTTTGAAACCAATCGGAATCGATTTACGGGTACCTCCCATACAAAATTTTTGAAATTTTGACTAAAATTACCGAGTTTTGCACAATTTTGAATGGGAGGTACCCGTTAATCGATTTTGATTGGCTTCAAACTTTCTGAGGTTTCATTTTTTGGAGAAAAAATAAGATTCTAAAAGTTTCATATTGATCGCATTTTTTGTCCTCAACTTTTGTCGAAATTTTCTTGGAAAAAATTGAGGAGCAAAAACCAAACTTCTGCAAATGCGATCAACATGAAACTTTCAGAATCTTATTTTTTCTCCAAAGAATGAAACCTCAGAAAGTTTAAAGCCAATGAGAATCGATTAACGGGTCGAAGTTTTAGTTAAAGTGACCGTTTTTTCACTTTATTTTTATTATTATATTTTCAATGCCTTTATTTCAAGAAAATTCACAAAAAATAGCCAAACGTACCTACGGACAACGCAGGACAACGGTACGGAAAAGTTCGGGATTACCAATGTAATTCTTTTTATTTTGTTTTGGAATTGACCAAAAACTCTTTGAGACAAGCAGAACTGCATAAAATTGATCCGGCTCGAACCTTATGGGACCTTGAACAAACTCTGTCTAACATTTTGCACAGCAGCCGAAGCAGTGGCGGCAGCAACAGCACAGCACTTGTACCGGTTCAATCACTCATTGAATATTCTGTGCACAAAACGTAGCTCTTGTTAGGCGGAAATATTCAATTGGACATGAGCGACAGGCTGAAATGCGCATCAAAAACATATATAATTATATCGAAAAATATAACGATCGTTTGAATCGATTATATGCGAATTAAATGACGTGGTTTTTTCGTCGTCGTCGTCGTCGTCGTCATCCTATTTATAAAAATCAATTTAAACATGTGGAAAATGGTAAACGCGCTACTTTATTTAGCCTGCAGACACTTAAAGTACCAAGCTTGTTTTGATTTGTCTGCTCTTGCTACGACGAGTGGAGAGTGCGAGAGAGAAAATTATATGAAAAAAAGGGGAATTCTTGAAAATCACTTGAAAAAATAGTTAAGATTGCAAAGTGCCATCGAGTTAGATGAGTGTTACAAGCCTTTCGGTGAAGAAAAATGAACGTTGGTTCGGTGGAAAAACGCAACTCTCGTTGCGACGACGACGACAACAGCAATCACGTAAGAAAAAAAAGCAGCCACTTCTTTCAGCGCACAATGTATTAGCTAACAATGAATTTGCACCTTCGAACACCAATCGCTGTCAAAATGCACATGTCGTGACACGTGCTTTCAGCGACATTAATTAAATGTTCCTTTCATTCTTTTCTTCATTCTGTTGCTAAAAGTGTTGTGTTTTTGTCTTCTCCTCGACAAATTCCACACAAGAAAATTACCTACTCGAGAGTTTTTTCTGATGGAATTGTTTGCATTCGTTTTGCGCATATTGATATGTCTTATAAAAGTTGCAGGAACCTGCTTTCTAAAAAAAATGATTTATTTCTTGAATATATTCCAGCCAGTAAGAGCCGAAGCAAACGATGAATGTGCAATTAAAAAGAATCGATTCGAAACACTTCGACAAGTGAAAATGGTCGAGGAGAAAAAAAAACGGTCCAGAAATTTGAGTGTAGTACACGCGCTTGCCAAATGCAAAATGAATGCAAAGCAGAGAATAAAACGTTACTGTGCAGCAGCCGCAGCAACCCGGTTCAGTTTTTCACTCTCTCGCCACAGATCAAAACAAGGACATTGTGGCGCCACACCATAAACACATTCGCTACATTTGACGTAATCAATAAGTAGTTTTTCTCTCGTGTGTGTATTCGGTTGGATGTGTTTTGTTGTTGTTGCTGCTGCTGTGTGATGTTTCCACTCACTTTTCGGTTCGTGTGCCGCTGTACACAGTTTGCCATATACCTGTTTCTGCGAATCGACCGACCGACCAGAGCGAGCCCAAACCGACAATCAAATTATGCACCGACTTCGTTATTATCAATCTATTTCGTAATCCACAGTGTATCGAAATGTTGCACATCGTGGTGTGCTGATAAAAAAGGCTTCAGTTGCGCGTGTGGCACACCGTGCGCGCAAACCACAATAATTTCCCATATGATAATCTCAAATAATGGAGCATATCGAATTGCCATACAGTTCGGCATAAATAGATAATATGTTTTTATTTAAGACAAAGCGAAAAAACTGATCAAACCAATACCAACTGCGATTCATATCGAATTCATTTTTCTTGTTCACATAATGCACGCGCGCGTACATTGGGCTAAATATATATAAATTAAAAAGGTTTTTTTCTGCCAGTCTTTATTTGGTGTGGCAAAAGAAACATCCATAATTTTATTAATATTGTGCCGTGTGCATTACAGATTTCATAGCTCAGCATCGATTCTCTCCCATGGACGTGCAAAACATGTGTGACACACATTTCCAGTGACGAAAACCGTTTCTTTTTTTTCCATCTTGAACCCAAAAGAGACAAAAACGGAACGAGAGACAAAAAAAGCGTTGTACAATTATTATTATTTGCGATCAGGTTTACATCCATTCATTCTCATTATTTTGTTCATATTTCTGGCGATTTTTGCGAATGTGCTGCTGGTTTTTCGTCATAAATTTTCATCAGTGAGCGCAGTACACATCGTGAATAAGCCGTGGAACGTGAGTACGAGTGTGTGTGAGTACGTGTGTCGGTGACACTGTCGATTCGGATTGGTGCTTTAATGTGTCATGTAATACAGGCGTTCACCAATTTTTGTTTTTCCATTTCGATTGAATTGCCATTCAGCGAGCAAAACAAAAAGGTTGTGATTATTTCCACTCGCGATTCGAGTATTGCACGTTCGGTTTCGATTCAGGTGACGACTCACACATAAAATTACGCGCAGCCAAAAGGGAAAAATAGCACTCGAGTGTGGTGAAAAACGTACACACATACAAAGCGACACGAACACACACCGTTTTCGTACGGTAAATTGAGTAAAAACGAAAATCGCAAAGAAAGAAAAACAAACGAACGTCATGCCAACAGGACATACCATTTACGGTTAATTCTGTTTTTTTGTTGTTGTTGTTGTCGCTTCTACTCATATACTTATGGGACGGTGTGTGTAGTGAGCGCTGGTCGTTTCGTATTCACTTTAATTTATTACAATTCACAAAAGTGCATGGTTTATTGTTGGCTCTCCAATATTGCCATGCGCAATGACTCTATGTTACGTGGAAACGGACACAATTTTTTTTCCACTCGCCGATTTTGGTGCTTGTGTCATGTCTTTTGTATTAAATTATTACATGCAACTCTCGGTTTTTGCTCGCCGATCAACTATTTGCCCCTAATTTTGCAATAAAACCAAAGAAAAAAAAGGAACAATTCACTCTTGTCTCAATTGTGTGCTTCTGTTTTGGCCAATGAAAATCAGGCTCGATGCTAAATGACGAAAAACCAACGGCAACATAAATTTTATTTGTGCACTATACTATATGGGGCTAACAAGCGCTAAAAACAAACCCAGTACATTCATCAAATTGATTAAGTCATTCATAAAAAAAAAGCAAAATATATTGCAGCCACTTCCAAATCGGTTTCATTTTTGTTGCTAAACATGCACATACGAGTGTCAAGTGTCATGAACAAAATGTATATACGTGTGTTTACCAACGATATTTGTCCTAATTTTATACGTTTTAATTTTTCGAGCGAAATCAATAAGTCATGTTCGAAGTTTTATGTATCTATTTAATGTGGAATAATGAAAGTATCACCAAATCGACCTTACCTAACCCGTATGTATATGTGAAAAGAAGCACACGCATCTTTTCTCATTCATATGCTAAGGATGGCATAAACTTGGCGTGGATATGTTTGACTGTGCATAAAATATTAGGCAATTCAAATTTTATCAAAATTATTCAATGTTTCATTGTGCAGAAAAAAACTAATTCGACGCCAACACAATGAGCGTCGTCGTGATTTTGTGGTTTTCATTAAGCGTCGATGCGTTTGGTGACGCAAAATATTTAAAAAAAAACACAGCACACAATGATTTCGCTTCTCACGATATTTTTCGAAACAATGTATGTCAATAAGCTCATAATATAAAACTTCATAATTACACAGAAAACGGCAATTTCACGGCGACTCCGCCGTTCAGCGTGCACAGTGAAATCGATTTCATTAGCTCTTCATTGCCAGACAGAGAGATGAACGGGAAAAGAAGGTGGGCAATTTTTGACTGCCAACTAGGTAATGTTTTATTCAAAATGAGTGCGTACGAAATTATGTGCTATTGAAATTATGCGAATAAAATTTGAATTTTTCGAAAGGTACGGCTAATTAATTTGTATAATGCGTAGCCAATAAAAGAGTCTAAATCAACAGCTTAAAAATCCATGTATGAACCGATTGAAGAAACTACCATCATGGATTTGCTTCAAATCAATTTCACTAATTTAAAGAGGATTAAATCCAAAGCAAATGTGAACTAAAACCAACATCATCAACCACTGCCGTTTCCAATGAAAAAGTGCAATGCAATGGTTCACATAATGAAACAATGATTGCGCTGTAATTTATCAAAGCCAAACTCATTTATCATTGGTGAAGTTGGTTGTCGCATTCGGTTTTGCCCCACACGTACGACCAGAGGTGATCGATTGGATCGTACAGCTCGTTGCCGCCGCTTAACCGTGTTTATCGATAATTTTCATTAGCTGAACTTTACAGAAACTCACAGCTTGGCATAGAGAAACTCTCATGAAAAAAATGCTCGGTCGGGCACTTATCTCCACCTCATTGTGCCACCACTCTTTTCTCGTTTGGATTGTGCTTACAGCTCGAAACGATTGGTGTGGATACGTTCGATCTCGACAGCATTGTGCACTGGACTACATTCGAATCGCAACAGCAACGTCCAATTCAACTGGTAATATCATAACTTAAAAACCATAGTCAATTTCATGTGAGACATTTCCCCACGTATTCCACACAATCGATCCGTCGATCTAACTCTCTTGCACGCATGGTACGTTGAATGCGGTGTTCATCGTTTGATTCGCTCTTTCCACGGTCGCATCGCTGTATGATTCGCTTCCAGTGAGTCAACTGAAGGGGGAATGTAAAATGTTTATAACACGTTCGAAGGCTTGCTTTACCGTGTTTCCACGTTAATCGAAACCTATTTCTGAGCGATCTCAGTGTGTCCGCGCCTTGTGCATGCATTCCCATCACCATAGCATACCGAACACTGTGTGCTGTGTGCGTGTATGTTATTTTGTAAAGAAACAACAATTCCATTCTCCGTCGCACTGCGATCAAGATCGAATTTCAATTTCGAGCGCCATAGGCTTGAGAGTTGTGTGTAGCGCTCATTTTTCTCAGTTCGTCTGATGCTCTTCGCACATTTGGTCGAATTTTTTGGTACGTTCTGTGCACGAACGCGTTGGTTTCTTCATCGAAATAAATTGATAGTTTTTTTTTTCTGAATTGTTATTAAAATATCAAAGTGAAGGCGTCTTCTGTGTCTACCACAAAGACAACGATCCTCGGTAACCAAGTGAACAAAAACCGATTATTTTTCGACGACGAAAAAAAAACAATCAAAAGACTAAAGACCGTAAAATATCGAATAAAATTATTCCCATTCAAAAGATTTGGATAAAAAACAGAAAAAAAGTCCACGAATTGAGTCAAACGTTTTATTTGAAGTGGTGACAATAATATTTGAACTCATTGGCTGCTTCACCATTTTTGGACAGTTTAGTGAATTTTGTGATGTGATTTGGTGCGCGGGCGTCATTTTTGGTCAATGAGAAAAAAAAGGTCATAATTTATGCGCGAAAAGAAAGAAGATTAGCAGCGACTCAGCGACAACTGAAAAAAAAGAACTCCAAAAAGCCAGAAAAATTGTTTTGTCGTCATTAAATTTTGTTGTTGTGCGCTTTCCAATTTTGGTCTTATTGACAACAGAAGAAATAGATATTTCAAAGTGGCAAAGAGACAGACACAGTGATTCGTGTTTCAGAATCCACGAGAAAAAAAAACGAACCACTCTTCACGGATCATCAAAAGAACACTGACTCTTTAATGCATTTAAATGTGATAAATAGAGACGATAAGGACAAGAACAACACGAAACATATTATTTGCGTGGCAAAAACAAAAGAAAAAAGTGTTGGAAAATAAAACAAAATAGTGACAACAGTTTAAGTCATCGTGTCAGCTGAGTAGCTACAAAATAGATTGCCACACCGATTCTATTTTCATCGAAGTCGACAAAGAACACACACAAACAGCAGAAAGAGAAAAAAGAATTACCAGCGACAAGGAATAAAGGCAAATAGACAGTGTGTGTCTCTCTTGCTGACTTGATTTGTTCGTCCTTGCTTAATCAAGCGAACCGGTTGCCATATAAACGAAAAGTGCATGTTCGTCGTTATGACTACATTTTTTCACAGCCCATAAAAACGCATAAAATAGCTGAGTGAAGCAACCGAGAGCACAAACTGAAGAATTAGCCCCAACAAATCGATCAGAGATCCGCGAATACCTTAAAGGAATGAACAGAAACTATTCAATGTATGTTTGATATGGACATTTTTGTGTTTCGTCTCTTTTTTTTCTGCTGTTCGTATCGTTTCATTCCCGCGTTTCGTTATCATTTCTGCGATTGCATATTTTTGCGGCGGCCTGGTAACTGTAGTGAGACTCTTTGAATTTGAATGCATTTGTGGAAAAGGGGAAAAAAGCAGCAACAAATCGAAAAACGGTAGTTCGTAGTCATCTAAAAGGCATGTACTACAACAAACGGCAGTAGCAATACTTGAAATCGAGCATCATCCGAAGCAGCAGCAGCAACGGTAGTGGAACTTTTTTTCCGCTCTTCAATCTCTATCTCGCTCGTAATATCGTCCATCTCGGGGATTTGAAGTGTAACAAGCACCAAGAATTTTCGTTCCTTTTGATGCTGTCGTACTGTGTGCTACTCGATGTCTATTTACTTTGTTTCTGTTCTTGTTTGTCGTTTGCATGCGCAACCAATGCTAAAACGGACAAGTGATATAAATATGGTGATCATAAATTAAAAACGACTTGTGGTAGACGAGTTCTTTTGAATTTTGCAGTGCAAGAGACTTTTGCGACAGGCCGAACGTGTACGAGTGAGCACGGTGTACAGAAGATTGCGGCAAGCGGGTGCATGTACAAGTGAATTCTCGTGAAAAATTGCCAACGCACACACACAAACACACAAATAGACACATTTCTTATGCTAGTTTTGTGTGTTATCTTTCTATTTAATAGTGCAAATTGAACATGATTTTTGCAATTGCCGTCTCTATTTCTGTACGTGTCGTTTTTTACCACCGTGGACTCTAAACTCATTCACAACAAAACTGTTGGAATCAAAGAAGGGAAAACTGTTTTTCTGCTGTTTTTCTTCTTCATCTAAAAACCAAGAACGACTAGACTCAAAACATTTGAGAGAACATCGACGAAATTACGACAGTCACATAAAAAAAAGTGCATCAAATACGTCTCGTTAATTAAAAAGAACACTTGAGAAGCAACAAAAAAGAGACACTTGAACAGACGTTGATTTAGAAAATTCGCGTAAAAAACACGCGAGAGAATCAGTTTTTTGCGGACGATTTTCATGAAGCGATTGGCGTAAATTGCGTGAGTCAGAAACGACAACGACAAACAGCATTATTCATTCAGAGTAAATTTCATCCGCGTTTTTGTGATCCACGTCCAGAAAGAATTCAACGAGCTAAGGTTTCGAACGCGATTGGCCAGTAATTGAATAAACAAATGGTTTGTTTGTGATTTTATTTTACTCATTTTTTTTTCGTTTTCATGTTCATTTACCACATTATTGTTGCAAAACTTTAATCAAAATCAGCTTCAAATTGCTGGTTGTTGATTTTTTGCGAGAACCATCAACTTTGCACAGCGCAGCAAATATTATTTTTCAAAGTACCGATAAATAAAAGTAACCATTGCCAATTTTCCTATTCGAAAAGTGGCCATTTTCGTGGTGACCTTTTTCTCTCTCAAATTGAATTTACATCAAAACGAAGATGAGAAAATACAATAAATTCTTGATCGCATATCAAAAATGAAGGGAAAAAAGTGAACACTGCCCAGCGGCCACATTCACATAACGATCGTACTGCGAACCGTCGAGAATTGTTCATTTTTGACGATTTTATAATGAATATGTGCGCTTGTCTTTTACCATTCAAAACATGCAGCCCCACTGCACTCTTGAGTCCGTTTCATTTCTTTCGTATGTTTGTTGGTTCATTTGACGATTTTATTCATGTGTTTCACTTTTTTTCGGAATATTTTTCTTTGTAATTGTTTTGTGATTTGTGACGTGTTTTTGTGTAAACGAATTATGCGCTTTAAATGCAGCCGTCAGGCATACCGTTGTCTGAGATATTTCATAAACAATTTGCAACTCATAAGCACCGTTTGCATTCATGCAATTGAATAGACACATCTGATGCATGCTACGAATTATTGTGTGCAGAAAACAAATGCTATCAATCGCGAGAACAAGGCTCGTACACACACACACACACATCTCGAGCGTAAAAATACTTTGATCAAACCACAGAGATCTTCCGAGTCAGAACATTTTACGAAAATTAAGTTTTTGGCATTCGCTGCGATATGCATTCAGTTCAGTCTTTGTGTATGCAAAAACAGGGCGCTAGAAAATTCGTAAAAGAATTGTAGCGCCAGTGGACAATTTATAGGCCTGACATTGATTTTAAGCCATGTGAAACATGTTTTTCATCTACAATTGAATTAGAAACGAAATTGAGAATTATTTCGAGTGAACAACTGTGCGGCATTTGTAGCTGAGCTTTAAAATGATGAAACATGGCTGCAGGTTATTTTATAGTTTACATATGTTGTGCATATGTGCAACTCAATTTTGAGGTGGCCGTGTGTCGCCGTAGCATGACAAAAGTGTATTTTAGCACAATCGTTACAAACTCTTTAGAATGTTGTTGCTTTTTTTATTTCATTTCTTAATTGCGCTATTCATCCGGTGTTTGGAAGTAATTTTGCAACCCATAAACAGTTCAATAAAAAAAAATGGAAAAACTGAGAGAGCGCTTTGCGTTTGCCACAAACATTTCAAATGCGTCGGCCATAAAATCGTATTTATGTCATCGTCTAATGTAAAAATAGCCATTTTAATTGAATTGGTTTCATGGCAACTTACCTCATTACACTTTCTTTCGCATATACTAACCTGAACGTATAACCTGAAATGCCGCCGCGTCAACTTTAAAAAAGATGATCAATCACTTAATAGTGCTTTTGAGCCAATTTTCATGATAAATGAAGAAGAAACATTCAAACGAATCGAAAATGAAGATCGTCTCATCATCATCAGCAGCAGCAGCAGCAGCATCACCAGAAAACAGCACATGCTATCTGGTGTGCGCTCGCCTCACTCACTACACGTTCGCTACAATTTGTTTTATTTTTGTCCATACGAGGATTCCACTTTCATCTCTTTTGTACGCAGAACACATTCATTTGTGACGTGTGCAGTTCGTGCGCTGTGCAAAGGGCCTCTATTGCTTCCAAACAGCCGAAAAAAAATGTCATCGTTATTTCATCCAAAAATAAACACGGATCGTGTCGTGAACGTTTTGGTTTGACTAAAAACGCACGTGTGCACATCAAACGTTTAAATATAGCGCTGATTTTTACAATTTTTCGGTTGCTCAACTCGGAGAAAAAGAGAAACCGACCAAAAAAATATATATATATAACAACAAATGTTACCCGAAAAGCGTGAGCCAAAGGGAATGAAGTGTGTTGTTGTTTTTCGTTCTTTTTTCGCTTGTAAGCGAACATTTGTTCATTGAATGGGTTACGATGGAGTTTCATAATACGAATTGCGTGCAGCTCCGAAAAAAAAACGTTAATTAATTTGTTCCAAGCGATGCGTTGATAGTTTTTGGTCTGGAATGAGAGACGGCGACATTGTTTCACGTTGTTTCGATATGAGAAACCAAAAAATTTATCAAAATTTGAAACGAATAAATTTTCTCAAATTCCGATATAAATATTCTCGAAACGGGCGAACAAAGCTATAAAATGAATTTTAATTTCCGATAAATCAAAAATTATCAATTTGAGCGAGCAGAGAGAGAGAGAGAGAGAGAGAGAGAGAGAGAGAGAGAGCAAGAGAAATACCCAAAAAAAAACCATTAAAATTGGTTAATTTAATTATGAAAATAGAGAATAAAAACCAAATGATCCGTGAAAACAGTGAATTGCCGCACCAACGAAAAAAAAACAAGACAAAAAAGCAACAATCATCAAAGCGACGCAATCGAAACAGAAGAATTTATCATTGGTACACCCAGAGGCAGTCGTTTTCTCATTACCAAGATAACCTTTTTCTCAGCAAATGGCGGGAAAAAGACAATCATTTTCATCATTTTCATTTGATATTCAATAAATTTTATTAATTAATTGAGACAATTCAAATAGAATGCCCGCCAGAACACCCAGTGCATGCTAGATGCAGTAGTCCGTATCGAATTCAATGAATGCAGTTGAAAATTATGCAGAGACGAGAGCGAGAGAAAGATCAGGCGCAAGCAGGCCGAAACAAAGGAATATGAAATGAATCGTGGCGCACATGTCATTACTGAATATTGCATACGGAATTTTTCGCTGAGCCGTTCAATTTAAGGCATTTTCCATATAATTTTATTCGTTCATTCATTTGTGGAGTTTGAATCGATTTCGTGTGTGTGTGTGCCTCTCTCTCTCTCTCTGCATCAAATCGTATTCAAATCAATAAATCGAAAATGGAATAAATTCTCCATATTCAATCGATCTCATTTCGGCTCATTTTCTATTGAAGTTGTGCTAGCGTCGATTAGATTATTAAGCCATCGATACACAACAATAAAAATAACAACAACAGCAGCAAACCTCAAACTCATTGCTATTACGTTGAATGAGGAAAAAAACGGCGAAGAGTAGTAGCGGCGCAACTAGAATCAATTAGATTGGCTAGAAAACAACGACGAGAATCGTTTGAACAAGCCTCCGTGTAATTCGTCGTCGCTGCTTGTTCCCTCTCTCTCTCTCCCTGCCTCTCTTTGTATTTGTAATGCGTATGTTATTATTTATGCGCAGCATGAATGGGATCGATTTATTAAATTTAAATATTCAATAACCGTGAAATTGTTCATTATCGTTTTATGTTCTCGATGCCTATTCTGTGTTGCCTATTGTCGTTCTTTGGCTTTTGTTGTTGAAATGCCCAACTTTTTTTTATTGGCCTATTCAATTGTTCTGTGAGTGTATGTGTATGTGTTTTGATGAGAACAGAGGCGTTCGGCGGGCAGATTTGATCGTAAAATTGTGACTCGTGTCAAGCAGCAAGCATATAAATAAAAAGTTTTTTTGCGAAAACATTTAATAATAAAAATAAATCTCTTCCTCTCGCTCCTGCACTCTCCTTGAATGTGGAGTGGGAATGAGAGAAAATCACAGCAAAGTTCTGAAGATTGCAAAGCAATCAAAATATGATTTAGTGCGTTCTTTTGTATTTATTTCGCTTTTTCATTCATTTACTCGATGATATCGTTGCAAAGAAAAAACAAGACGCTGAAAAGAGATGAAAAAAAAGCCAAGAGTGTTTTCACTTGGAGTTTTTATTATTGATTTATGTTTGCCGCCTTTTTATTTACAATCAGAGCAAAAACGGCATTGAGCAGCATAAAATGTGGAGAAGAGAAAAAAAAGCGTATGTGGAATGGGCATTTGTGTTTGCAAAAAAAAAGTAATAAGTAAACAGAGAATTGCAAGAGACTGTCTTCCCTTCGGTTTGTATTAACCAAATCGTTTAATCTCGAGTGTTGAGATGGTTGTTGAGTGCGCTAGCCATGCTCGCTATTCATACACCATAAATTAAACCGCATAAACCTCAATTTGCATTTTTCTTCATTCTTAACAGCGAGCCCATTTCGGTAGATTTCTTTTCTGCGCTCGCGCTGCTTCGCCAAAATACGGTAATTTCATAATGCAGTTTATCCGATGCTACCGTTTAATATTGAACGAATGAATGAATGAAAAAAAGTAGCCTCAATAAATAGAGCAATGCGCTTGATGATCTCTTGTGAATAATGAAGAGGTGTGGCACAAGGCGAATGACTTTTTACAAGTTCACTGAAACAAATTACACTCAAAAGAAGAAAAACAACGAATCCATAAAGAAATCAACTCCAATCTATTTCGATCGAAATGAAACGAAACAAAAATCAACAAAGAAACAATTTCAGTTTAAATTGCCACTATTATGGCTACTTCTTAACTTCTGTCACAGTTAAAAATCGAAAACTTCTGTTCACATGCAGTGAATCGTTTCAATCACACCACTCCCAAATTGTTGGCTCTTTGGGAGCCAGTGCGTCTTCCGAATTTATTGAAATGCATCAAATCAAATGTTGATGTATCACATCCGCAGCAATTAAATATAGATCTCCAAAATGATACCTTGTTTTTCAAATGGGTCTTCCTACTTGTCGGATGTTTTTTTTCTTTGTTTTTCCGTACTAAATGCTGCCGCCTTCATCACTATCAGCGTTTATAAATGAGTGACAATCATGAGATCAATTTAATTAAGTGAACGAAGAAGGCGAAAACAGCAACAACGAAAAACCTGAAATCGGAGACAAATTTGTACAACATGCGTTCCTTGATCGTTCTCTGTCTCTATTGCGTCGGGGAATCGTGTAAATTGTGTAACTATGCAAATGTTCACCATTTCCATTTCCGTGGTGATAATTCGAAATGGATCCAAAACTGAATCCCCAATCAATTCCAGATCATAAATGACTTTTGATAAAATTAAAACGAGAAAATAATTAGATACCGATAGCTGTGTGTCGCATTTCAAACTGGAAAAATATCTAAATGATTTTATTTGGCACTGATTTGAAGAAAATAATCAAGAAAAAACGAAGTCATATTCTCATCACATCCAGTGTTCATCAGCCGATTGACATTCTTTCTCATTTATATTACTATCGGGAGCATTACTCGTGAGTAAAATATTCATAATGGCTATAAAATTGAAATGTAACGAACGCCGTCGTCGGCGCTTATCAACAAGTCTCATCACATTTTTATTCCGGTGTTAATGATATCACAGCATTCTCCGGGGTCGTGTGATTCCGATATACAGACACATGAAGCTTAAAAGCCGCTTGAAATTGTTTAGGATAACATTACAATCGAGAAGATATGTGTTTATCCCACCTTCCAACTTACTACTTACTAATTGAGAGAGCCCAGTTGTTGTCTTAATTGAATAAAATTACGATCTCTCGTCAACACAGCGCTGCGATTGTGCTTGCATTATTATTATTCGCCGATATCAACGTCAAATGCTGCGCTGTGTCACACGAACTGTGTTTTAATGAAAACTGCAATTAAAAGCCATTACAACGGGTCGCCGATGATATGAAAACTATATCTGGAAAAAAAAAATTAACGCGACAATAAAATGCGAAAACGTTTAAATTATTTACTTTCTTTGTTGCATCTCGAACTGGGTTTTGTGCATAAAAAAAAACAAACAAACAAACAGCAACAACCGCAAAAAATGGTCTGTGCTACTCAATAGATGCGAGAATTAATTGGTTATATTTCAAATGTTTACGAGCAACGGTTAAGGAATCGAGTTCGTTTCGACATGAATTTGAAAGTATTCCGTTTTTTTTTATTGACAACACCGAAACGCATCAAACAATCCAAGTTGTCACATAACATCGGCTGGTTTATTTAACAATTTCGTTATGGTATCAGTAAATCACATGTGACGATTGCACATTAAACAGACTTTGTTGCAAGCGCATGCTGTATAATTGGCACTAAACATTTGCTGTTGCCATTTTTTTCCTTCTTGTTTGCTATGCTGTTTATTGCACTAGGCTTTCATTCGCATACACACTCTCATTCACACGAGAGAGAGATGAATCGTTGCTTGTTTAGACTTCAAAATTAGTCACTTTAATTGGGATTTACGTGTGAAGAACGCACGAAAATTGCATAGAACCTATCGTATAGTACGTTGCAGTGTGAGTCATTTGGTAATTTAGAAACTAAGCTAAATGAAAACCAAGAGAAAACATAAATATTCTGACGCACACAGCAGAAGAAGAACATTTGCATCGTGCGCGCTGATTTCATAACCAAGATAAATCGAGAAGGTGTAAAATAGACCGCGAAAATGCACATTCGCTCTATGTGCAGTGCACAAACACACAGAACAGATAGTTTCACCGGTTAAATGGTGCTCATCATCCCGGTTTTGTGAATGTGTGTGTGTATTTCTGGTCGTACAAACTGTAACTGATCTCTCGCTACATCATTATTTCATTTAAATTAGCGAACAAAAGCAAATAAAATTGTAATTGATGTGATAATTTTCCACTCGCATTCATGTGCAAATGTCGACGTGATTTTTGTTTCCTTTTCTTCTTCCTATTCATTTCTTCGGTCGGCTTTTAATTCGCATCTCTGTTCAATTCGCGCTGTTATTTGCTGTAAGGCAGGACCTTTGGCACAATATTAATAGCATAATAAATTCTATTTCTGGTGTTTGACAAGTCACACCCTTTGAACACAGTTCCTTCATTAAGCCGTTGTGTGTGTATATCTGGTAAAATCTTATGCAACGCCGTAAGAACGTGATCATTCAGTAAAATGTGCACAATCGCAATTCACAATGTTAAATGAATGAATCATAAAAATCCATCCTTTTCCACAAAAAAATTAGCATAATTTTAGTACTCGCTGTGTATTGTACACACAATCTTTAATTTTCTCTCGTTTTTTTTCTCTCTTCTCTTTATTCATTTCAGATCAATTCATACAAATACCATCAATACCAATTCCACCATCATCCACAGCACTCGATTGTGCATCACACAAAGACAAACACAACGATGGGCAAAATGAAGCATAATTCAAAATCACAAGCCATATCGGTGACCGAAATTGCCGATCAACCCAATGAAAAGTATTCGTTGCGGCAACGACAAAAACGTTCTACACGAAATACCAACAAACAAACCGAAAATAGTACAAAAACAACCGAACAATCGAACGCGGCCGATCAATCGATGGATCCGGCAACAGCAACACCACAAACATCAACACAACAAACGAAAAGTAATAATAAAAAAAGTGCGGCAAAAGCAAAATCCAAACAAAAGGCAGCACCATTAAGTAAATATCGACGAAAAACGGCAAATGCCCGTGAACGGATTCGAATGCGTGAAATAAACAGTGCATTCGAACATCTTCGTCAATGTGTACCGGTGTCATTTGGTGACAATAACCCGACTCAATGCAATGAGAAATTAACAAAAATCACCACACTTCGCATGGCCATGAAATACATTAGCACACTCAACGACATCCTCAACTCATCCGAAACGGACTGCGATACAACACTATTGAATAATATCATTAACAAGAGCACAATGCAACCAGCGCCAACGAGCAGCACGTACATGAATAATAACAATGACAGTATGGCTATAAATAATAATACCGCTGATGTGGAGACGAAAACGGTTTCGGGTAAAAGTAAGCGAAAATCGAAAAAATCGACGGCAACCACCACCACCAAGGCCAATAAAACCATAAGCAAACGAAAAACAACAAAAACAAAAGCAACTACAAAGGCGGCGAGTAAAATGACGCAGAAAAATTCAGCGAAAAAGGCACAAATGTATGAGCCAATGCCGAATAACATCAGCACTTTGTGTCTAACACCACCATCATCCGCAACAGATAGTCCAATTGATTTAGGTTTAATGCTCGAATCGGATGGAGAATCATTGCATTTGTCTGAACCATGCCTAAGTCCACCGCTGTCCTCAACACAATCCACAAAACCGTTCATCAGCACAATGCTTTCACCTCCACCGTCGATGACAATGTCGAGTGGCCTCGACATCGGGCTATTCCTTGACTCGGACACAGATTCATTGCATTTCCCCGAACCATGTCTCAGCCCATTGGACGGTGGATTCGATGCATTCAGCCCATTTGGTGATTTATTGAATCCAGGCTTCCCCGAACATTCATCGCTTGACATTTACTTAACCTAGATTTATAGCTCCCGAAAATTATCGTATATTTTAAGATTTTTTTTTAGTGTAAATTCAGACAAACCAGACATTATTATTTAAGTGTAAATCATTCCTGCGAAACCCAATTATTTCTCATGTGTCATATTACTTTAAGGCGAAGAGGTGCTATTTTCCTATACACTGTAAAGTTTGTTTTTAAACGTTATTCAATTTCGTGCGAATTTCTTCTTTTCTGTTTCGGTTAAGTGGAACGACAATATGAGTAGATGTTTATTGTCGGTAGATTAAACGATAAGAGTGTAGCTGTTAAGCTGAAGGGGAGAATTTCCGGTGCAAACAAATAAAAAATGTGCAAACTTTTCAACGGTGTGAAACAACGTGTTGAACAGGAAATGTTTTGTCATCTGATCTTTGACGATAGAAACCAGATTTATAGATTTTGTATAATTTGTAGTCGACTACAAGACGCCAGTTGAGATATATTTATTCATAAATTTATATGCGTTTTCTTTATTTTTATGTCGGATTGTTTTCTTTTTTTATTGTCTAGGGACTTCATATTCTGATTCAGAATGTCTCAATAACTATTTCTGGATTAATTGATTCGAAAGACATTTATACTCGAAACAGCAGAAGAAATCGCTCGTTTTGTGGACCATTACTCGTAAACTATTACGGCTATAAATTGAGTGTAAAATATTTTTGTTCGCTTTTTATATGCGCCTGGTTAAAATTAAAATGTCTTTGGAATACATTATTTGACATGATATACATTTCGGGAAATTTGTTCACAATTTTCGACAATATTTCAAATGCCACGTAATAAATTTGTTTGTTTTTTTCGGTGCTTTCGGGTAAATGACCCATTTTAAAAATAAAATCATTCACTCGCTTCACTTCAGCTACTGATGTTGAGCGAGTAAAATGCAAATCGTGATGCTCTCTATACACGGTCTCTCGTCCACACGGACGACACACAGAACCATCGTCGAAAAGAACATTACGTACATAAAAGCCTCAAGTGGAGTAGCTCGTAAATTCTATCTCGTGTGCATTTGCTTAGGACATATATATTATCGTAACGTTAAATTATTACTGCACACACAAAAACAATATACATTTTGAAATGCATACAATTTCGCAATATTTAGTTGGATATTATATTTACCATATTTATGTGCTGAAACTTAATTAAATGCTCGGATTTTTAAGAAGAAGAAGAAGAAAGAACAACATCATACTACACACATATCGTTGTACTTTAATTGTTTGTATTAGTTTTTAAGTGGTGTGATGTTTACGAAGCAGAACTTCTGCTAAGAATAAGGCCCTTTTTTTTCAATGAAATCGAGATTGTTTTTTTCTTTTCTTTTTTTCTGCATATTTTTACGGAATAAATTTTCAATGATTTTTTTTCTCAAAACATTTCTCGTTTTTTTCTTGATGTGTAGTCTATTGGCAAGAAGGAACAATGCAGTTGCTTCAAATGGAACTTTTGGATGAGTCAAGTGCATAATAGTAATAAAATTTAATTTCATGCACAATGCACTCGGCGATAAACCTATTGATTGATTTCAGTTGGAATTGCTTCTGTTGATGCGCTCGCATCGATTATATATTCAATTAAATAAAGTGCACATTGAAATTAACGTCGATTGCAATCGCGTACAATATCTTTGAATTGTGCTACCGCTTCATGACGAACAGATATAAATTCCACAGTTTATGATTTCTCTCCAGTTAATTGAAACGTCTTTGTGGCATTGTGATTCCAATAAAAATTTTGTTTCAAAAAGAAAACCACACAAATGATGATTCGATTGATTTGCGAGTAGATGCTGAAAGAGTATTGCATAATATTTCTTAGATCATAATAGTTTTTTTTAGATCATAGCTCCATCACACTCACACTTTATTTGAATGCTAGCGTTTTAAACATCATGTAGTAAGTAAAGACCGTTCTTAGCAACTGCAATCGATTCAAAATAGAAAATGAATAAGAATTGATTCTCGTTAAATTTTCGACTATTTCTATCTTACTGTACAAAATGTTTCCGAATTCAAAACCGCTACACTGAACCCATGATAATAAAGCGGTTTTTGCGTATTCCCCAATCAATAGAGTGAAATACTTTTGCAAATCTATCGGAAGAGATTGCCAATTGGATTCAAACAAACAATTAGCCATTTAACCATAACAATCGGTAGCCAATTTCTCGAAAAAGTAGTTAACGAACAGATTTGCGGCACTAGTTAAAAATCCCACTGAGAGTATACCAACATTGATGTCGATGTGTTTCGCCTCCTGAAAATTGCAATTTCATTTAAAATGGAAACTTATTAAAATTTATATTCTTGATGTTCTAAATGGAACTATTGCAAGCTGACAGCATATTGCCGCATCGTATTTCGTTGAACCGCTAAAAATAGCACTTGAATCAAGTTTATTACCAGATATAATTGAAAAATGACAGAGGCGAGAAAAAGCATGCCACAAATCAATTGAATCAGTATGTAGGAGCTGTATAAGTTTGCCGTTTCATACCTATAAATTAACAACTTTTTAAACAATAGAAAAAAACATTTGTTAAATAAATTTACCCAATTTATTTTTATTTTTTTTATTTTTTTTTATTTAGTTGAGTTATGAAATTGAACTAGTTCATTATTATGGTAAGGTATGCTATCAGGATGATTCAATTTGATTAGCGAACGTCGGAATTCGTCGTAAAATACTCTATGATGCAAACACATCGATATGAACAACAGCAGAAGTGTTCGATTGACAAAAAAAGTAAAATTGTCCAGCAGAATTGACGAAAAGTATCTCGGCGATATAAACAAGCGGCGTTTGACTACCCCATGGCAAAATATATAAATATTTAAAACGAAGATAATTTTGTCCAAAATAAATAGAGGCTTTTGTGTCGGAAACTAATGAAGGTAAGTGAGAAATGAGAATTGTAATAACACTTACGCAATACTATACGGATAATACAAGTAATTTGCATCAAAATGACCACTCCGAATCAAACCAATTAAATAGGAAACCGAGCACATTATTACAGTAACAACCGCAAATCCAAATGAATAATATTTGCAATATGTCTCCCAAATCCAAACGCATTGATCGTTAGTTTCTCTAAGATGTTGGTTGAAGTCATCGTTTGCATCTAAATTTTAATCAAATATTTCAAATATACTTCAACAAACCTGTTTTCATTTTCATTTTCAAATGAAAATTCCGCCAAAGAATTTGATACAAGCCTTACTTGTTTGACAAATCTCGTATAAACCATCGAAAATTAATTTTAAATCTATGGCGAACAAAGAATGTAATGATGACGGAATAAGTAGCGGATGAAAATGCGACGATCCAAGCACTTGACACTATCACGAATATGATCGAACTTAAAGTGAATTGAATCAGTGTCTTTAATTTTCCACCATTTGCATCAGCAGGAAATATACCGATCCACGTCAAGATATGACGGCTCGTTTCTAATGGTTTTCTTCTTGAATTCATTTTGAAAAAAGCGTTTGGTGCAAACAATCCGAAATGGCTAACAATTGATATTGATGATAATTTTTCAAGCCCAACTTTTATACGTAGTAAATTTTTTTGTTATTTTATTGCAATCCATTCGGTTGGTGTTGACTGAATATGACAAAAAGCGAAATGTAAATCCTTAAAAAGAGATTTGAATCTAAATTTAGACTGAAATCTCTATATCAAGACGTTCACTTTCCACTATAATTAAGCAGCGCCGTTCAAAATGACTCACTTACAACGAAAACTTTTCCTTCGAAAAAGTTTGAAATAATCAAATGATTTGTATCATACAATCTCGAATAATGTGTTAATCCGTCTGATTCAAAGTTTTTATTTGTTCTGATAAGTTCAATACGGTGGTAAGAGTTCCAAATTAAAAAACACATTACGTTTGAAAGATTTAAAAAGATTTATCGTCGGATCTTTGTAATAAAGGTAAAGTTCGATGTTCAAAAAACAAATTCTATTTGTTTCACCATAAAATTGGATGGAAACATAAACAATTTATATTGTAGACGGTTATTGCACTTGAAATGGCTTAATTTTAGGTTTGCTAGTCTGTGCTTCTCTTATGGTGACTTTCGAAATATTGTACTATTAATTATTTAAAATACTCACTGTTTATGTTTCGGCGCACTGTTGTACTTATGTGTTAACATGACAAAGTATGACTTTTTTTTAATGTAGTACGTAAACGTCTTTTCTGAATAGTCAGTCATATTTCATGAGCTAAACTCAATATTCTGAAGTGTTCATCTTAATTACGCAATTTGTTACTATGACAAATCGCAATAAAATAAATTCCAATAAACTACATCGACATCCCAATCTCATGGCATGAGGTCATTCTTGTGATTCAATTACTACGAATGCATTTGATGTGGTTTTAAGTCATTTTTTCTCTCAATTACTCGGTATTTTTCCTTGATGCGGCAAAAGGAATGTCAGTTGGACAAATAAGGCAAACTAATACAATCAATGCAACTGACTTCAAATGTGTACAGTGTTTGTGTAACCTTTTTCATGGCGTTTGAATCAGTCAAATCAAAATACAATGTAAAATTCACGTTGTAAATCAAAACTTCTTTTGTTCGAAATAATTGCACGGAGTCAACGCTTAGTATCTTACTAAACTGCGGTTCTTATTAGACGAAAATGAAGTCAGAGATACATAATTCAAAATTATTACACCTCAAGCGGTGTTAATTGAACCATTAATCGTTTCGGTATTCAAAAACAAGTGCCGTCCAACTGAGGTGGCGTCAGTGACGGTACTTTTCAACATCTTGCCAGTGCCTGTCTTTCGATCGAATCCATTTTCCATTTTTGATCCATATTTCAAAAGCGAAAGCAACAGGAGATTGACTAATGTATCTGCATGCATTGAATCGGAACCAGTTCGTTGTCGTCGGCGCGCTTACATACAGAGTTCAAAAGGTTTCCACCCAAATGAATTGCGTTTAAATCCATTCGATTATAATATTTTTGGAGCCACTTCACTGCATGTTCCATTGAAAATGCGGCCTGTGGAAATATCAACAGTGGGTTAAAATTCAAATTATTCATGATAAATATTTTCGGTGTGTGTGTGTGTTTTTCTCCTGGTAAAATTGAAAAGAAAGAGAATATCAATTACAAAAATGTTGATTTCGTGAGCTTGTGCTCACTCACATCTACATGAAATACAACCGATGTTCTGTAGCACGTTCGATGGAACTGCGCATGCATAATATCTTGATGATTCTTTTATCGGCGTTTACTGTTTGCTCACAACGATCAAGCGAAAGAAAAAGAAGAAAACAAATACTGAGTGAAAAAAAATGCCGAAAAGTAAAATATTAAACCATATCAATATTTCACCTGAAAACGAGAGAGAGAGAGAGAACGGATTGTGTGTGTGCTTGCGTGTGTGTGTGTGTCTCTACCATGCAGTCTTTCACTTCGATAATCAGAGTGTTTTGATCGGGAAACGTCTTATTAATACGAACGCATGCGGGTCAAGTTAAATATGTATGGATTAAATATTCTGTTTGTTCCGTCCGCTTTCTATAAATCAATGTGCAATGAACATGCGTGCGCTGTGCGCATTGAGAGTTTGAGAGCCACATTTAATCTGACAGGCGTACTGATCGAGAATGCAGTCAAAACATACAACAGCAAAATTAAAACGGAAAAATCGTCAGAAAACCAACGAAAAAAAAACCAAAAGGAAAACAGACAGAAGAAGAAAAAAACGCCGTCATATAAAGAAACTGTTCTTCATGTTCGCTGCGGATTTAAATGTAACAATGTGGAGCATGGGCTTATGCGCCGCATTCAGGTAGTAGTATAATCATAAAATGAATGACAAAATCTTCGAAAAGGAAGCCCAATAAAATGAATGAATCATACAATTAAATCTATCTTCAGTTGATGCTCTTTTGGTTTCGGAATACGACGCGAACGGTGTGCAACTTAAACTTTCTTTGTTTTGAGAAATCGATACACGAATCGTCTAATATTCGTATGGATTTTCGAAAGGATTAACTCATGTTTCGGATGTTGTAAACGAGCGTGTTAATTTGGGCTTTATGTGGTTCTTCAATGGCCCAAAACTGTCATGTTCATTTGCATTTCGGTTTCGATAACGAGTTTTGGACAAAAAAAAAACGGTTTCGATCCATGCGATTAGTATGTTTGACTTGAAAAAGATTGAAACTGATCTGAAACGTCGTTATCAAATACGATGGCAAATCACACTACCGAATGCACATTATCCATGCATTTGACCAAAACACATATCATGTCCAGTGTGGATCTGATTTTATCAATCTATTTCACGTTCTCATTATAAAATGAGCACCACAGCAGAAATTAGAAAATTTATTGTGTTTTCGTATTTATTTTTAATCATCCGTTCGAAAGTAGTCATGATTGCCATAAATCACCATGGATTTGAGAGTTAATTAAAATCGTGGCCAGTCACATTCATCTCATGGTCCGGGCAGCGACAGAGATAGAGAGGGAGAAAATTCATTTTTAATTATCCGCTTTTGGTAAATAAATTTGTTTGTTTGGTCTTTTCGAAAGGTGTTACAGAATTTATGAGGCGAAAATTTATTCCGATTGTCATTTTTTCCATATCATAATGACGATCAAATCGTCTTCAATTGGAAACATTTGAATGTGATTAATTTTTTCTCTTTGTATAATTTGCCGTTTGAAATTTTACCGCTATCGCGTACGCAACGATTTATCACTCGGTTGGAGACGATTCATCGTGGTTCGCCCTTGATCGAAATGACACTTGAAATCTCCAAAATATTACGGTTGAATGAGCAATTTATTGAAATCCCAAACGAAATGATTAAAAATAATTTGTTAGTTTTCATTTGATCTGTTGCGTCTGTGTCCAACTGAGAGCACGATCGGAAGCTTCTAAGCCTCGGCGGTATGCGTTCATTTTTACAAATAAATATATATGACATTTTCTAGCAATAAGATATCGATTAGATGATACAGAAAATATCCGTTGATTGGCCACTTTATCAAAGTCAATACCGTTTCTTTTGTCATCATCGATGGGGCCGGCTGCATGATACATTAGCGCAAATACTGTTGCTCAATGTGATGTGAACGATACCGAAGTTCAAATGATTAATTTTCACAAAACACTCATATTGTCATATGGAAGGAGCTCTCATTGCATTCTCTTTCTCTTACTCTGTCTCTTTTCCTCTTTTGCTCACTCGCTCTCCCGCACGACGAACCTGAATATAATTTAATAATGTTGTTGTGGTCATTGTTCGCATATAAATATTCCATCTAAATTAGCTCTTTGTGTCTCTGTGTACATGGTTGCAGTTTTTTCGGCCACAAAAAGCCACCGTTTTCACCATTCAAATAGTCTTAAAATTTCTCACGGTCTCTGCATCGACAGATCTTGCAAAACTCTTTTTTTTTCTTGTTAAATGTCCCTATTTACTTCTATGTTCTGTGCTCCATTCGAACGGTCAATTACAAAAATGCATTTGCTTTGTGGCGAATGTGAAGAATTAAACGAAGAAAGAGAAAGAGAGAGAGAGAGAGGGAGAGAGAGAGAGGGAGGGAGAGAAAAAACAGCATATATCGAATGGAAAACGCAACGACGATAATGCTCGTCTGTGCTCTGAATTTTGATAAGGCACCACGTCAAAGAACGCAATTTCTGAACACAGCACAGCATAGCAATGGAACAGCACAGCTCCACAGCCACAACATCTTTCGCTGTCATCGTCATCTCTTCTCGGTAGCGGTATTGCATTCATCACATTCAACTTGGCGAATGTCATTTCAAAAGCAATATGCGCACGGTGCGCTCATTTCGATTTTATTTATTAAATGTCTTCAACACAATACACAAACATTTTGGTTGATTTTTTCTTTATTTTTCAGATACATTACAGCAAGAACATGAGAGACAACTGTCGTTAAATTGATCCAACGATTCTTTTTTTTTCGTTCAAGTATTGAATTATATGTGCAAACAAGAGAAAATAACATAGAAATGTAATTTAAAAGACAAAAATAAAACGAAACGACGAGAGTGCAATTTGGATGCATTCCTTATGCGCTTATTATGGTCAATCCATTCATGTTGCCTTCTTTGAATCTTTGTTACGGGAACTGAATTCCTTTTCAGCGATTGCCTTTGCAAGACGACGAATTACTTTCCCAGAAGGTGTCAATGGTAATGCATCGACGAAGTACACACCGCCACGCAACTTGTAGCTCTCATCGAATTTATCTATACAAAGGATTGGGAAATTGGTAATTTGAATTATAATTTTCATGATTTTTTTTCCTGTTTTTTATTCAATTTAGGATTTCCTATGCTTTCATCTTCAAATATGGTATTACCTGCAACCAGAGAATGAACCTCATTTTCCGAAATGGTTAAATCTTTGTATCTAACAATAAGAGCAGTGACTAATGTTACATCCGAACTGGCCACTCCAACGACGCAAGAGGATTTAATGGCTGGATTTTGATTTAGGACCGATTCAATTTCCTTTGGTGACACTTGGAAGTTTTGGTATTTTATCATGTCGATTTCACGTCCAAGCACATGCAAATAGCCATCAGCATCGAAATACCCAATGTCTCCGGTTTTCAGGAAATTCTCTTCGTCAACAATCGAATTTTTCCCTTCTTTGCCATAATATCCGTTAAAATAGTAGGCACAATGAACGCAAATTTGACCTCTTTCACCCACTCCCAATCGATTGCGATATTCATCGACAATTTTCACCTTGATTCCATTCACTAGTTTTCCCGTTCCATCTAAACTCAATTGAAATCCACGTGACACAGAAATTGCACCGCCTAATTCACTCAACCCAAACATATTGTAGGGCACAGCATTTTTGAAATATTGACGAATTGACGCATACTCAGGGCGGGGAACTTTTTGACTATTCAACGCTACAGATTTAACACTGGACAGATCCACGGATTTGATATTCTCAAATGTTAGGGCCAGATTGATTTGATGTAAAGACGCAAAAATATGCGTAATCTTGTATTTTTCGATGAGTCGAAGCAAATACTCGGCAGAAAATGGCTTTGTTGTAATTATTCGTGTTGCACCGAAATAAGTTGCCTTCAATATATTTGCAATTCCAGACAACCAGTAAATAGAGGAAAATGCAAACAGGACATCACCAGCAGCGGTCGACGTTAAGCGCGTGCTTTTATCCAATAGCAGAGCATGTGAGAGACATATACCTTTGGAAATGAAATTGAAAATCACAATTAATAGCAAAAGAAATGGAACATCAACACAATGTCATCTGATTTACTTACCTTCAAGCTGTCCACTTATTCCAAAAGAACCGGCAATGATTGCCGTTTCAAATTCACCATCCACATCCACTAGGCTATCACATTGAAACGTATAAAATAATAAATTGAACATTTTTAATCAAATTTACAACAAAAAATTATCACTCACAGAAAATCCGATTCGATGTTCGTTTCAGCGAATAGCACTTCGACTGGTTTGGATTTTCCTCGTTGCCCGGTAAAGGTGAAGATGTCTGCTTTGATGTCCAACTCTTTCAGGCATGTTTCAAGTAAGTCATAGAGACTGACTTCACAGAAAAACACACTCGGCTTCGTTATGCTAATGATCGATTTGATTTCTACTTTTCCAAATGCTGGATCAAATGGACTCACCGGACAACCCAAACAAAATGCAGCAAACAAAATCGGCGCCAAATCTGGATTATTATGAGCAATGATGCCAAAAACACCTTTTCGAGGGACTTTTAATTTTTGCAGGTTCTGTGCCACTCGAATGGTTTTGATTAAAATTTCATTGAATGTTGATTGCACTCCGAAATCGTCACTGACCTTGATTGAAAACGAAATAACATTGTTAGCTACTCTCAGAAAACAAATGCTGGATTTATTTATGAGAATTTTCGATATTTTAGTTAAGGTGGACGGCAAAAACCGATTCCTTTGTATGTAAATGACTTTTTTTAAACTATCTAATGTTCGAACATCGTGCTCAAACTGCACGGTTTTTTTTTCATGATAATTCGAATATTTCCTCTCATTAATGATCATTATTTTCCACTCGATGTCTGTCTTAATTTTCCATCATTTTCATTTTTCATTAAGTATCAAACTTCTAGGCCCAGTAAATCTCAGTTTAAACTGGTTTGAACGGGAAAAAAATTGAAAAAATCATTTTGACCAAAATGAAATCAATCCAGAGCTTTTTATTCTTCGCAAACTTTATAAGAGTCGTATTTTTGATTTCACATACTTTTATTGCTATTTCCATGAACTGTTGATGGACTATCTATTTATTACTATTGGCTTAGTTCAATTCTTCTTATGTTTGTATCAAGTTTCAACACAATTACGTTTTGATTTACATATTCTTCAATGCAATTGTTACACTATTGATATCATTTTTCTTTTGCAGCTCATTTTTCCCCTTTCGTATGCTCTCATTGTTTATATTGCATTCATCATATGTGAGCGGCAGTGCGTTGGAGGTGATTTGTTGTTGTTGCCGCAAGTAAACCGCGATTGACGTTGCCGTATTATGTTACACACGGGAACGACTACGTTAGACAACGTTAAAGCGAAGCGGAGAACGAATGAATGAGTTAATGATCATACGTATGTGGTTTCTCGTTTGGCTGTGTGATACGTCGTATGGTCGCAACGTGTAATGCCGATAGACTCATACATGCGAATGAGTGTGTTTTGACACATAACAATCGTTCAGCTGGTGCATGCGTCTCAGTTGACTTTTGAAAGTTGTGTATTATAAACTTGGAGTGTAATTTTATTGCAAACAAAACAAAGATAACAGTCATTTGGCACCGAAATTAATGGAATTTTTTTAATTTGATATGCGAATGAATTCGGAAATAGCAATTTCCATAGAAAAAGAATGCAATTCAACCAAAATTGATTAAGTTTCAGTGTTTTTTGTGTATAAGTGAGCGTGATAGATTACCGCAGCCAACACATTGGATAAATGTTATTGTCATCGTCGTCGTCGTCGTTGTTGTCATTGAAGGAACTTGAATTTAATCATCCACTCTGGCGAAACAAATATATAAATTTTTGCTCTTTATTCAACGTAAGTCCAAAATTAAATCCGAAAATTATTTTTGGAAAAAATTAAGCAGTTATGTAAATGGAAAAAAACCATTTTATGATTCATCAAGACTCGTTAGCTACCTAAAGCAGTTAACAACATTCGGTGCGGTTGTGTGCGTGGATTCAGTACACGTGGATGTATTGGTCATTAGCTTCGTTAGACAGAATGCGTTAGTGAAGGCCGCCGTGTTTTAACACAGATGAATTATCTCTACTCATCGAAATGTTGGCGGCCGTTTGAATTCATTCTATCGCAGTAATTCAATTAGTATTGTCATTTTTTTTCTCTATTGATTCTAGACGTGACGTCTTTGGGAATAATCGAAATGTCGGAAACGCGTTTGCCTGCTGTGTTCCTGGGCCATGGAAGTCCAATGAATGCGCTGGAGGAAAACACTTACACCGAAACCTGGCGTCAGTTGGCTAAAACGTTGCCACGACCGAAAGCGATTGTACTTATTTCAGCCCATTGGTACACGCGACGCACAGCGGCAACTGCAATGGAAAAACCGCGAACCATCCATGATTTTGGCGGATTTCCACAGGCTTTGTTCAATGCTCAATACCCTGCACCAGGATCGCCACAGTTAGCGCAACAGGTGGCCGAGCTACTCGCACCTCATCCGGTCGTATTAGATCAAGAATGGGGCTTGGATCACGGCGCATGGTGTGTACTGACCAAAATGTATCCGAATGCAGATATTCCTGTTGTACAGTTGAGCATTGATGGCACCAAACCACCACTGTATCACTACGAATTGGGAAAAAAGTTGAGCACTTTACGCGATCAGGGCATACTGGTATTGGGCAGTGGAAATGTTGTGCACAATCTGCGCACATTGAAATATAAGGAAGATGCTGAACCATATCCATGGGCACATTCTTTCAATGAATATGTACGTGAGCATCTGAGTTGGCAGGGACCGGCTGCAAATCATCCACTGGTCAATTTCATGAACCATGAAGGAGCCGCACTTTCTTGCCCATCACCCGAACATTATTTACCAATTTTGTATGCACTTGGCTGTCGTCAAGGCGATGAGCCAGTTACCATTTTAACGGACGGAAATTTGATGGGGTCACTTAGTATGTTATCAGTACAGATTGGCACATTGCCAGCAGCAAAGTAGATTGTAAATGGTTTGAAACCCATCTCTCACTGTAACGACAATATCACTTTGTGATTATTTATAGTTAACACTTTTTGTTGCGCATATTTAACTGTGCATGTGTTAAATGATGATTCAAAATAAAACAGGAAAATTCTGATTAATTATTTATTGTTATATTTTTTTCCGTCTCAGTCAATCCCATATACTTATTCGTCATTGGTTTACTGGTTTAATTTCTTTCAGTGCTACTTTTATCACTACGTACTATCTGTCGCTGTGACGATTGTGGATTGTTTTTATTTGTACTCAAAGCAAATAACAAAAGCTTTTCATAGACAAAGAAAAACAATCACACTTGACTTATCATCCACTTTACTGTAAGTATTTATACAACATTTTGATAATACAATACATTTTAACGTGTGCTATTTATCGCTAGAGCGTGTCTCGGAAGCTAACTTTCAAGTTAATGCCCATAGAAGGCAATTTTGCCAGGCCTTGCGGCAACATTTTCAATTTCTTGTCCTTATGACTGTCGCTGAGTTCGAATTTAAATCGGCGCAACATCAAAACAACACCAAGTTTGGTTTGTAGTTTGGCAAATCGAAGACCAATGCAATTTCTTGGGCCATCACCGAAGGATAGAAATGGTCTATCGATGAATGGTACTTTTTCTTCACTGAAACGCTCCGGCATAAAACGCATGGGCTCCTTGTAGTATTTTGGGTCGTAATGGATGCCATCAACACTAATCATCACTTGAATTCCTTTTTCGATGACCACATTTGAATTTGGAATCCTATAATCCTTCACACATCGTCTTGTGAAGAAACCGAACGGTGTGTGCATTCTTAGGGTTTCTAAAAAAATTTGATTTGGTTCAATTCAAATTAGAAGCAATAATAAGTATAAATTCCGTATAAATTCCCTCAACGAAGTACCTTCAATGCAATTTTCCATATATTTCATTTCAGCTAGGGAGTCATATGTCAATTGGCCATTGTATCTTTCAAGAACGGCAACAATCTCTTTGTATACTTTTTGTTGAGTTTCTGGATGTTTGGCCAACTCGTACATGCAAAATGACATTGTCGTGGAATTACTTTCATAGCCCGCTACGAAGAAGACGTGTGCCTGTGCGGCCATCTCATTAATGCTCATTAATTTTTCCCCTGACGTCATTTTTGTTGACCAATCATCGTTATCTTCCGTCACTTTGCCCGTATTTCTCAGCTGCATCAGCATTTGAAAGAAATCTTTTTGTGTGATATTGTGTTTTTCTCGGTATTGCAAGTTGTCACGGACCGTGTCAATCATAAAATCACCCACATCCTTGTCCACGAATCTGGAACGAAACAATTTTGCCATCGATGGTGCAAAAAATGATCCCGTATTGCGAAGCATGTTCTTAATAGTCGGCTCAAAAAATTGCTTTCCATATTCTCGGAATTCCGAATCTGGATATTTGATGGAGTCAATTTCAATGCCAAACGAAACGGATGCAATAACATTTGTCGCAAAGCGAGCCACCACTTCACGGATTTCAAGAACTTCGCCACTTTTAGCATATTCACTGATAAAACCGTCAAGCGAATCGCCGCATTTCATTATCGTTTGGAACATCGCCTTTAAACGGCCCGTTGTAAAACTTGGCGACAATTTTGTACGAGAATTTCTCCATGCCTCGCCATTCTGAACGAGCATATTGTGTGCCATTGGGTCAACATCTTCATTGACATACCATCCACGATGCGGGAAATTGGCAAAATCCTTTATTAAAATCGTTCGAATTAATTCAGGGTCACGAAACAAAATCACTGGCGTCATCAAACTGTACACACCAACAAATGGCTCAGTTGATAGATCATAAATTTCTTTGACCTGATCGTCGATGGAGATTTTTTGTAAGAATCCATTTGCAAAGGCTCCAAATGGGAATTTCGGCTTAAGATATGGTACTCCTCTTCGTTTCCAATAACTGTACGCGTGTCGAATGTAAAGCCAAGCAAGAACACATGACGACACAATCAACACTAATAATGTTCCAAACGACATTCTTCTGAAAATTGAAAATTCACTGCAAAACACGGAATACAAACTTGAAATGACCGCCTTTGTACGATTTTGTAACCATTTTGAACTCAGAAATACGCCTCAACACTGATAACGCAATATTTGTGTCTATCAGATGAACAAAGAAAACGTAAACAAGAATCACCGAACAATTGAATTTTTATCGGCGATAGTCTGGAATATTTGGATCGCATCGGTGGATGATGAGAAAGCGTTTAATTTTTATATATAGATTGAATCAAGTGAATACACGAGTGATTTTCGGTCAGCTATCAACATTGTAGTGCACCGTTGTCGGCTTTTATTCGCGCCTGATTCGCACGTAATATGTTTGTTCGATCATATGATTTCGTATCGTGTACGATGGAAGTATTCTTCTTCACTTTGATCAATAGCTATGGACTTTGCTGCCTATTTCGTGCTGTGCACATTTTTATCTACAAAATTAATCTAAATGCACCAAAATCGTATTTTCACGTTATTTTTAACGTGAAAGTGTCGCTATTTATCATTCATCCAATAAACATTTTTTTTTTCTTGTCACATTATTCGCACTTTTGTCTTCCACAAGAAAACTCGTGTTCACAAACTAAAAATCGATGTTGAATTCGTCATAAATACACTGTACATACAGTCACGTGAATTCACTTTGAAGAAAATATTTTTTTCCAAAATACTTGCCTGGGCTATTTTCGGTCCATGCATCGACATCATTCGAATGATCACTTGACCGATCGACACTTTTGGATTGAAAAAGGGTTTTATGTCCGGCCCTTCCCACAGTTTCTCCTCTGCATTGAACCTTGTGCCGATTTCCAACATTTTTCACACGATAAAATTGTTCCGATTTGTCTAAAAGAAACGAAACGACTGAATCAAGTGATGACTCGGTACAAATATGATCACAGACAAAATAGCGTGTGACAATCCAACGTTATAATTCGGAGCCATAGATAAGCAGGTTGCCATTGAAATTACATCACATTAGAATTTCGTGAAGATGACATGAATTGTAAAAGATGACAAACAACGTGTGAAATTTACACTGTGAATTGAAAGGTAAACAGAGTTTGGCTGGGTGACAATTTATCGGCGTATGAGTTGTAAAATCGCCCAAATTTAGATGAAACACATCTTTCCATCAGATCAAACGAAATCTTGAACGAGATAAACAAAATGTTATCGTTCATTCATAAAGTGTTTCGTCATGTGAAAGACTAGAAAGAGTAGTGTTAGCTACACAAACTGCAGTATAAAGATGCCTTATTTTAATTAAAATACTTTCTTTTAGCCGAAATCCAATCAAAATGTAAGGGCCACAAGTGTTTTTCCCCGAAACTACAAAATTTAATTTTACGACCGACCGAAAATTTAATGCGGTCGCTTGGAATGGAAATGCCACCGAAAAGTGGTTTGATTGATGTTTTCATTGAGTTTTTCCTTCACAAACTTGCGGTTTTAATTTATTTGAATGAATAAAATTCGGGTTGTCCGATCAAAAGTAACGTAAATGTTTTCATCGCCAGCAGCAACACACGCTCGTGCATCTCATTCACAATTTTGTGATTCTATTGAGATATGGAATGAAACAGGTTCCACCAACTGTAAACATACTATCTGTTTGTTTTTTTCCACTTCTATGAAATTTAAAATGAACAGGTGACAGTTAAATCTTGTCATCTGATTTGAAATGGCTGTACAGTTTTGATCGAGTCATAAAATGCAATGATTTTGCAATGTTTGATGAAGATTTGGGGGAAATATTTCTTTTTTCCTTCTGACATATTTAATCAGCAACTTATCTCCGGCAAATGTGGAATGAAAACCAGTTATGTGGCGCGCGAGCCGAGTGTGGCATGTCAATCGTCGTTGCGTACGTAGTAATATTTACATTTGAATTGTCGGTATATTTGTTTTGTATGCTCATTTGGTAATGCAGCAGCGTAAGTCAGAAACAAGCAATTAAACTTTAAGTCAAAATTTAATTAAAAATTGCGTATTTTATACGCAAAAGAGTAAGCACACGCACACCGACACAAACACACCCGTACTTATTGGAAATTGAGCCAAGAGAAAACTCAATTTTGCATTAAAGATTAACAAATGCGTTGCGAAATGCAGAAAGGCGTTATCACTCAATCTGCAGAAGAAAAAAAAACAAACGCATCGTTTTGGAAGAGATGGTGAAAAAGGATTAATTAACATAACGTAGATTTTGTCCGTATTCGAATTGCGATCTCAAGCTGATCGTAAAATTAATGGAAATTATGAAAATAGTTTTCATAAATTTAATCTATTTTGATAGTTAGATTCCAAACAAACACGTCCCGCGTGCACAGTGTTGTGTGCGAACGATCGCAATTGAGTTCGATCGACGAACAGGAATTGTATAAATTATATAAATTGAATGGCTGCAACGGGCTTTTATTATTTATTAAAATGCCACCAATTTGATACGATTATTGCAATTGCGCAACAATGCAATGATAGGAAACTCTCTTAGTTCTTAAAATCTAACGAAGAGGGCGCCAACAGCCGTACATAGGAATGTCCATAAGAAAATGCCCTCTTTGTCAAATATTTTGTTGTTGGTCAAGAAAAAGTGTGTATAGTTTCCTATTGTTGCAACAAGTGAAAAAAGTGCTCATTTGAGCAAATATTGGTGAGCAATGAAACACACCATCCTGTACTCATCGTCGTCATCATCGTCGACCATATCACTTTCACATCTTTATCTCACCTATTACTCAAATAGAACATTCCAATGTGTGATTGCCTAACAGAATCGTCAGCATTTCATTTATGTCCCTTTCGATAAAATAAACAGCGAACGGTGCAAATGAAGAATGTTGCACAATGCACATATCCATTAAAAGATTAAAAGTTTTATTTTACTCAATGGAAATGGGAGATTTTTCACAGTTTCGCTTGAAAATTTCAACTTGATGATTTTAAATCTCTCATTAGACATGAAATTCGAATCACTATAAAAGTGACCGTAGATTGACGGGCTTAACAATTCAGCCAGCAGCTGTAGGTTTCTTCCCGCTCTCGGATTAACATTGAATTGAAAATTTCATAAAGATAACCATTTTAAATGGCTTAGAGCTAGAGGACCGATGCGCTACAAACGGCATCATAAATGCTTGATGCAAATAACCAATTAATATTATAAATGAACTTTTAAATGTTCGGCTCTATCAGTGTCGTTTAGCCGAGTAATAAGAATGGATTCAACGTGTTTTCTTCCATCACTAAATACGGTTAATCGCCATAGCAATTGTCGGCTTAGGTCTGCGCAAGTGATAAGCATTTCATTTCAACGCATCGCACAGAAGAGAAGCGAACAAAAAAAGTCTACACTCTATAGTAAATTATCGCAATTTGTCGACACTATTCGGCGAAAAGATGCTGAGAAACGTAGGAGGCAGAATGCGGCCGAACGACTGGCTCATTTCCATTCCGTTGGCGACAACTTACGGCCACTGATAAGCAAAATCAAATTATGACTTGATTGAACGCAATTTGCCATCGCATGCACTTTTCGCAACCTGATTGTAATTGTGCCTCCATTTGCAGTACGCGCTTTCAGTTTCTTTTCTTTTATTTTGGTGCATGCACATTTCACATGTCGTAAATAATCAAAGTCTTTCGAAGCACGAATATTTGCACCGAAAGCAGCGATTTTTCACCATGTCATGTCGTTTGCATGTCTCGCAACACACAATGAACCGATGCACACAATAAATTATTAGGTTTAAATCCTTCTGCATGTAGAGAACATGCTGCAATGTAAACGCACAGAAATGTAAATGAAGCGGTTCGCTTTTGAATTTAATTTTTGCGTTTCATGTGTAGAGCAAAATATATACACACATCTTGAGCCACTAAGTCCCACTGTTCAGTTGACAGGAGTTTTCAGCGAGTGATCGCCAAACCACATTCAAATACATCAACGAAGCTATAAATTTCGAAATGATCAAAGGCAACCAAGTGCAATTGAAAGCTTCTCTCACTGCTGAAGCCAACGCTCAGCTGCGTACCGAGACGACGATGTGCCCACAGGCTGAATCAATTTTATCGCACTTCAAACCAAAGTTACATTTTGTAGATCACAATTTTGGATTCAATGAAGTTTGACCATTTTCCTTTCGTCGTTTAGCTCTACACATTTTATTGTACACTTTTTATAAGCCTTTGTTTAACTGATTTTTCAAACGATTAAGGAGATTTCTTCACCTAAACTGAATGAAATATGATAGCTATTGTTTCTTACAGGAAGTTAGATTCAGCAATCAAGTCGATGGGAGGATTTTCATCAATTTTAAATTTCAGAAGAAGCTGTGTGTTTTGTCGAGAAACTGAATGTATACTAAAATAAAATTCAGCAAACAATGCTTATTCAAGTATTGCTTATGTCATTTTTTGCTATAAAACAATAACAAGATAAAAGCATTCCATGGTTGTAATTTCGTGAATTACACATATCTTAATTATTCACTTTCATCATGAATACAAAAAATATGTTAGGTCATTCTCAAATGAATCAAGCTCATTCGAAACTGAATTTCTTCCAAATTAAATGATAAATCATGCTGCAAGTTCCGCGTAGAGATTAAATTACAGATGAACTTTTGAATGATATACCAAAGAATAAAGTGGGAAAAACATGTTGAATGTTTATTTTTTTTGCATTGACATTGATTTTCCAATTGTGGCTGACTAAGCTTGAATCCACGAAATATTCTGTGTAAAGAGGCTGTTTTGGAAAAGCCAAGCATCTTACCTGTTCTCAAACACCATGAAAAAGGTAGAAAAAAGCGTATTTTTGCGTAGCAAATGGTATAAATACGAATAATAATTTGCTGTTTTCGCCGTACATTTGTTCGAACCATTGACTTCCATCCGGTTGCGAAATTCGTGAGTATGGAAGTGGTGAAAGCGAAGAGTCAAAATGGTTTATTAATAACGGTGATTATTGAAATCAGACTAATGGGTAGCAAGCGATGATTTGCGTTTTCGTGTCTATGTGAATTAAATTCAGTGCTTCTCAAACTGGGGCTTAAAATCGATTGGTGTGTTTTGGTAGCACAATTTATTGGTTTGGTATGACGCCGTGTTGGCCATTTATAGACTTTGTCTGCTTCTTGAAGAAAAAAAAACGCTGTGCATCGTGTGTTTCTCCCCATTCTAAACATATATGCCCACCGATCATCATTGCAAAAGCCAAACAAAAGAGCGACGATGTTATATCATTTGTTAACATAATTTAAGATCTCAACGCCTTCGATGCGATGCCAAAGCATCTATGCTGAAATCACGTTACAATTCGATCCGAAGAGTGTCTTGCTGTTCAATAATGGGAAACATAGCACTGTTTTATGTCCGCAGCCGATGAACAAATACAATATGCTGTGCAAAAGATGACCGATGAATTCGCCTGCTCTCGCGCTTTCGAATATTTAAATGTGCGCATTGCAAACGACTACACAAATCAATTGTAGTCAACAATTTTTGTTCTTCTTCTTCTTGTGCTCCCCTCGAAATGATGTGATGTGTTTACTCTTTAGCCCAACGTATTATCACAGCATATCCAAATGGAGTGTGGGTTAACAAATCGTAAATATTATCATGTCGAGTTTTGCGGGCACGCGTGAAAAAATATGTTTTTGTGCATTCGCACCATAAAACAATGTGTATTCTTTCAACTTTTTCGTTTGTTTTTTGTTTTTGCTGTTGATCTCTCTTGTTTTGTTCCTTTTTCGTTTCCACTACTAATCTTGTCATCTGCCGTGTAGTTGTTTTCTTCCTCTCTCTCTCTCCTTCTTCCTCTCTCGTCTGAATGAAATGTGGCAGCACGGAATGAGTCAAAACAACTGTTTACTGTAGCGCACATGCAAATCAAATCACGTCAAACCAAGCAAAACAAAAGAGATATTGAAAGTCAAATGAATATGGAGAAAGAGAGAGAGAGAGAGAGAGCGAACTGGTCAGTGGCGTGCGCGCATACAGAGGAGGATATGGACGAGCTATTCGCTATTCACATAGAGGCCACAATAATCAATATGAAGGCGTACCATCAATCGAACAGTCATTTGAGCCAATTCCATATCATTTCTATGGGATAAGTAGCTATTTCTCGACATATCCGCCGATAAATTTCTCTCAAATGCTCGTAGATTCGCTTCAACGCACATTTTCAGCATCTTAATAGGCAAAGTTATGTGCTTCTTTGGAATTTTAACAGCAAAAAAAATAATTTTTGTGAATTTACCGCGAAAAAAGCAACTGCTGCGAATGAGTTGTGTACGTTGTACACAGCAAATGCTCATGCTAGAACTCTAGTTATTTCCAAGCCATTCATTTTCATTGCTATTACTGTGTCTTGACCGTTTTGGAAACGGAAAACCGAAATGAAAAAGAAAAACGGCGCACACACAACGACCAAACATGTACGCATAGTGGAACGCCACATAGGGCCCACGCAATACACATTTCATTTATAATTTGTAGCCAATTTTCCATTGATGCTACAACCACGAATGATCTTTATGCAAAGTGAAATGAAATAGGAACAAAATGAGATACACACGGGATCTCTCCTTCCTCTGTCTCTCGTTCGCTAGATCTCAAACGCTGCCTTCCTCTGGTCTGCACACAACACGGTGCATGGCACATGTTCAACGTGCTGTCGAAAACGCGTTTCATTGCACATGCAAAACAAATCATTTCACGTTTACTCTAATCGAAGCAGTCGCATTTTGTTTGCCCGTGCATTACTCATTTGGTTGTGCGCGTTGTGCGCGGCTCGAATATTCGTCGCGCTGGCACAGCTAATGCCACAAACAGCAATTCATTTAACAAATATTGTAGTATGATGTGAGCAGGGAGCGTTATCTTCGCTGCTATTTTTGTATGTGGAGAAAGAGACGCGAACATTTGATGATCCTTATTTCGCACGGTAGACACTCACATTTGGATGACTGCAACGATATAATTTATGTTTTTACACCACGCGCGCGCGCATACACACTCGCTCACTCGCATCGGAACGATGACGACGACGACAACGGCAACGGTAACATCAGCACAAGACACGGTGTATTTCAAGAGAGGAAATCGTTGCACGAAACGATGAGTAATGCCTTGAATCGGCTTCCAAACGTGTTTATTAATTAGCAACATGATATAATTTTAGGTTTTCTGGTCTATCAAACACACCATGGCGTAGACGAAATGCAAGCCAAAGTCATTCCGGGCGTGCGCTTGCACAATCTTTACACACACTCGCTCACTTGATACGCCAACGACAAATGAAGAAAAAAAAAAGTAAAACAAAACAAAATTTACATGTTCAACGATTTATTTCCTCTTCTCATGGCATTTTGTTCGCCGTCAAAATAATTTGATCGAAACAACTTTTCGAAATTTAATGTTCAACAATTTGCGTTTTACAAACGGTTTGAGTTCGTTTTTTTTTTTTGTCAAACAAACGAACAATCAAAGGAAAACGATTGAAATAAAGAACCAATTTCAGCTTGACGACAACCCAACAAATCCGACATATTAACAAGTAGAGGAAAAAAACACACTGAGAATGAATTAGTGTGTGAGTGAGAGTGAGAGAGAGCGATGGAATAAAAATTATATGGTCCAGATTTTACAAACGTTTTTGATGCAAACAGGAAAACGACAATTCCACTCAAACTTAAAATTGCCTGTGTCTCGGTTTGTGTCTATTGTTAGCCATTTGCATACACAGTATAAGAAAAAGAAACCATTCCCATTGACAATTTGCATACAATTCTCGCATATATGTAAAAATATGCTAGCGATTTAAAGGGTGCGGCATACAGAGAGAGAACTATTTCGTCTTTGCCTTTTTTTATTGCATCATTTTCGTGTAATTTTTTTGTTGCCTGTAATTTTCGGCCGTTCATTGGACATATTAAATTTATGTTATTTTATTTTTTTATTTAATGTTAATTTTGTTTGAATTGGATGAAGAGAAAAAAACGCAAATCCAACCAAATGGAAACAGCTTCAAGACCTATCCATTGAGAGTTTTATTGCACTGGATATCGAATAGTTGCACGTATAAACACGACCGTGGACTATGCCTCTTTTTTTGCATGAGTATGTCACCAGTTTTTCTATAAAATGCCATGTTTTATCGGTGATACAATTTAAATAAAATTGTGAAGATGGACGAACTCCTTTGTTCGATCAGAATTGAAAATGCCTTGCATTTCATTGCTCAAAGAACAATTGATGAGGCAGTGCGTTGTATTTTTCAGTCTTAAGTAGCTCTCTGCGTAGATTGTCTATTTCTGTCGCCACTAGAACGAGGATCGTTCAATAAAATCGAATAATGGTTTTGTCTTATTGTTGAAGAGACCCACTGGTCGACCGTTCTGCAATATTAAGAGACGAAAAATAGCATCGGAATATCACTGGCTAAATGATATCTATTCAAAATACCTGCAATGCAAAACAAACGAGCCCACTGCCGATAAGCTTTACATGAAACAAATTGACTACTTGCTGATGCAGCTGATTGAAATTGATTTGTTTGCATTTTTTTATCATGTTAAAAATGTTAATCTGTAATTGCCATTTCATTTGGCTATGTGTTGCATTTGAACCTCCCAAGAACTCTTCGCGTTGCGTTTGTTCCACTGTATAATTAAAATGCACTTGCAACGGAATTCCGGCACCATGCGCTTCGGTAATGTGATAAAAACGTTGTCGGCGCCACTTTTTACTTCATACACAACGAACAAACATCGTTGAAATAAATGAAATTCAGGTAAATCGCTCTGCTACAATGAATGAAAATTTATTTTAATTAAATTAATAGACATTTCAGTTATCGGCTCCGAAATAAAGCGATTATGACTACCTCAAAGGCGGTCGTGCGATCCATGCAATGTAGACTGGTTTATTTGTTTATTTCTCTCTTTTTTTTTGTCTGAAAAGCGTAAAGTTCTGATTTCGCAAATCGCATCGTATCTATGAATTGGCTCAACAACGGTATGCATTAAAAATTAGCAGAAACGTTTGCAATAAAATACCACCAGGTTCTGACAGGCAAAACATTCGCTGTAACTCGATGCAATTGGCATATCTCTCGCGCTGTCGGTCGTTCGTTTGCATGAATGTCTTTCTATCAGTGTTTATCGAATTTGTATGTGAGTGTAGAAAAAAAGGCCATTGTTGGCCTTGTAAAATGTGTGTGTGTGGCGCACTGAACACCGATCCCGACTCAAGCATATATGCATAGGATGCGAACAAGAATTCGACTTCAATGTGATAGCAATTTAGATTTAAATAATCCCAATATT